GCAGAGCTGAAGCAGCTGAGGTGGTTGAGCTGCCTGGGCCTGGCGATGGTGCTGGTGGGAGAGACGCTGAGGAAAGTGGCCATGCTGACTGCCGGCTCCAACTTCAACCACATTGTGCAGAACGAGAAGTCAGAAAGCCACCAGCTCGTCACCTCCGGGGTCTATGCCTGGTTCCGGCACCCCTCCTACGTGGGCTGGTTTTACTGGAGCATCGGCACTCAGGTACGGACGTCTGGCGTTCAGTCACTCGCTTCCCTGCTGAAACCACGTTAAATAAAAATAAATAACAATTGTATTACAGGGGGGGCGAAACGTTGGGCAAGTTCTTTACTCCATGCACCTCTGTTTACCTCGCAGCAAGTAGGAACCCAGTTGTTAGTCGATTGGCGGATCGCTTTTCCAGTGGTGATAATCCCTGAAAAAAATTGGTCAGTCAATCCAAGACTATTTGTGGGATGTCGCTGTGCGCAATTGGCTGTCACGATTAGCCAACAAAATATACAGTCAATTCACTTTATATTATATTCTGTGAAGCGCTTTGAGATGTCTTGAAGACGTGATCAGGTGCTATATCAAATGCAAGATTATTATTATATTATTAAAATGTTACATTCAAAACCTTCAAAGCTACCTTCCCCCCTGGGCCCGCCCTATCATCGGCGGTAGGGTCTTCAGCTTCTCTGTACTTACCCTTTGGAACTCCATCCCACAGTCCCTTCGCCTCGCTCCCTCCCTCCCTCCCTCGCCTCATTCAAGGCTCGTCTCAAGACCCTCCTGTTTAACTACGCCTTTGGCCAATCTCCTATCTGTACCCTCCCCCGCCCTCCGCCCCTCCTAATCCAAACCCCAGCTCAGGTCCAAATCCCTGACTGTCCAGCACCTTGGGACGACATCCCAACGTGAAAGGCATTATACAAATGCAATTTGTTGTTGTTCTAGTCTTGCTAACACGTCTTCCTGTTTTCCTTTGCTTCAGGTGATCCTGTGTAACCCCATCTGCATCGTGGGCTACACGCTAGCCTCTTGGCGCTTTTTCCGAGAGCGTATTGAAGAGGAGGAGGTCACTCTGATCCATTTCTTTGGCGAAGATTACCTGCTGTACAAGAAGCAGGTTTCGACCGGGCTGCCCTTCATCCAAGGAGTCAAAGTAGAGCCGTAGAGGGAACGAGAGGGAGCACTGTTGGAGCACCCAGTGCATTCATAGGCTACAGAGTATTTCTTAGCACTAAGTACTTAGGACTTGAGCTTTGACAAGCCGCCCTCTCTGCTGTAACTATCGGCCTCTGGGAGAGACTTCCGTCTGGCCGAGCCGAGAGGAACGTATCCAGATTCACTCGCCCATGGAGAGTGGGACATGAAAACACAGTGCCCGTCCACTCGACCATTCCAAGGCACTGCTTCAAACTAAAGCCATTTCTGATTGACTTGATACTTCCTGCTGATCTCAGCCCCCCCCCCCCTCATCGCCCCCCAACCCCGGGCTGTTCTCTGCGGTCTCAGTCCGACCCTAACTCATCATGATGGGTAAACCCCCACAACCGTTGTGAATCAGGATTAATCATGGTCCCGTCGTATGCGCTTAAATACACGTGTTTTTTTTCCCCAGTAAGTTATTGACATTTATTTTCGTACAGTTAAACGTTAAAGGGAAATATACTATCAAGTACGATGTTGAACATCTGCATTGATTTGGCAAGAGACATAGAGCTGTGTGGGTAAGGTTTCCTTTAAATTTGTCGATCCCTGAACCCCTCTCTCAAAAATCTACCCCCCCATAGCCTAACTTCTCCCCTCCTATAACCCCCCCAGCCACTCTCCCACCCCTCACCCGTTGTCTAACCACTGTTAAAATGTTAGAACCTTTTATTTTTTCAAATTCAGAGCAAAATCTTCGGTTAAGATGCAACTCTTTGTTTCAGAGTTGTGTGATTTTGCGATGTTTCATGTTTCTCTTTCCACACCCTCTTCCCCACCCCCCCACCCACCCCAAACAACTTGTAACAAAAGGGGCATCTCTGGGTTCATGAGGACCTGGGTTTAACATGCCCTCCTGTCTCCCCGCCAACTGGCTGGAGTCACTGTCCAGGGATTACTGCACAGAAACATGACTGTTCGGAGTCTGCCTGTGGCTGTCTAGTCGTTGGCTCAGGGCATAGTGGCTGATCAGTATAGGCCGTCGCGATGAATGAAAAGTGTCTCAATGTGACCTTGTTGCTTTCTCAAATAAACCAGCTTGAGTTTCTTCTCATGTTTAGAGAATGTGACGTGTTATTTTGAGGTTAAACACTCCACTGGACTGGGATAAACTTTCTACATTCACAGCTCTCGCTCCATTTACCCTCTGCTCAGCCAATCCAGCCAGTCAACCCTATTTTCATTCAGCATTTTCCTCTCTTTGTGTTGGAGCTGGAAGTTTGACCGTTAGTTGCCGCTGTCTAATCAGGGAACGAGGGCCATGAGATGCCGTGAAGTTGAGCAAAGATGCTGAGGGTTAATAAGCACACTGAGGGGATCATTAGATGCTGGGGATTAATGCCGCTATCCGCGCTGGGCTCGAAAGAACCTGAAACATTCGCCTTCAGAATGCCTCTGAACATTTCTGAATTACTTAAATTCAAACTGACTTTGGAACCCGATTTAACCCAGTGTGTGTCGGCGCTACTTTGCACGAAAGGCGCTACGGAAATGCAAGTATTTGTTTTCAGGAACCGCCTTCTGAGAGGTGTCAGGCCTCTGGCTTCAGCACATCAGTGTGAGGGTCAGTACCTGTCACGGGCTTTTTATTTTAACATGTAACCGTTTGTGTTTCTCTCTATGCGGTGAGCCGCGTTGCAGTGAGGAAAGTACAGAGACTAAGCTCGCCTCAGTCACGCAGACTGGCCTGGGGTGACCGACAGTATGGCTTATCCAGCCAAGGACCACCCTACCAGTTAGGGCTTTGACTTGCTGAGTTAACAGGAGCTGAGTGGGAGGATTCCCTGCCCCCAGTGACTGGTCTGCCCTTCCAGGTCCTGCCAATGAGCCAGGCTGGGCTGTACTGTCATCAGTCGTGCCCTGGAATACTGCAGACCTTTCCATTTCTCTCTTAAACATCCCTGTTCAAGGTCTGTCTCAAGACCTAATTCTTTGACCGCGATTTTGGTTGTGTTTCCTCTCCCTCACCCCCCTCAGCTCCCACCTCCAGCTCGTGTCCCAAGCCAGGACTGTTAAGCACCTTGGGATGTCCATCCCAGGTCTGATTTCAAGAATGTGTCTTCTTGCATTGGACTGCAATCCTGGAGGAAAGAGACAACCACTCTTGATTGTCAATGCTCATCTTTATTTTATTTTAAACACACTGTGCGACAGCCAGACACATGAGATGTCACCTGGCTCAGCTAGTTGCTCTCTCATCTCTGGATTAGAAGGTTGTCAGTTCAAGCCCCACATCAGGACTGAGCTCACAGTCTAGGCTCCCGTCAACGCCTCCATACCCTCTGACGCTGACAGCATCACCCTTCATGGTTGCACTTTACACCTCACGGAGCCCATACGGAACCTTGGTGTCCTGTTCAACCCTCAACTGTCCTTCATCCCCCATATCCGTACCATAACCCACTCCGCCTTTCCCCATCTCTGCAACATTGGCCGGCTTCGCCACTGTCTCTCACCACAGGCCAACGAGACCCTCATCCAAGCATTCATCACATCCAGGCTCAACTGCCCAAACTCCCTGCTTGTCGGCCTCCCCAATTCCTCCCTCCACAGGCTGCAGATCATCCAGAACTCGGCAGCCGGTGTCCTCTCCCGCACCAGACTCCACGACCCTATCACCCCCATCCTCGTCTGGCTCCATCACTCAGAGGATACTGTTCAAGATCCTGTTCCTCACCTTCAAAGCCCTCCACGGCCTCGATCCTCACTACCTCTGTGACCTCCTAATCCTCTACTAATCAGCGAGCTCTGGCCTGCTTAACATTCCCAACCTTACCCGCCCCACCATTGGTGGGCGGGCCTTCAGCCTCTCTGCCGCCACCCTCTGGAACTCCATCCCACAGTCCCTCCACCCAGCCCCTTCCCCTTCAAGACCTGTCTCAAGAACCTTCTCCGGCTGTGCCTTCGATCACCCTCTTACCCCTACCCTCCCACCCTCCACCCCTCCTGGTCCGAACCACCATCTTGGGAGCGGATCCGACTGTCCAGCGCCTTAGGCCGTCCTCCTGACATGAAAGGCGCTATACAAATGCACAGTGCTTTAGCAAGCCCTGCATTGTCACAGGTGCCGTCCTTCAGATGAAACATTAATCAGAGGTCCAGTTCAGCGTTAAAGATCCTGGTGCTTGGACCAGAGAAGGAACTTTCTCCCAGTTATGGCCCTGGATCCTCCAGGTAAATTATAATAAATAATGTAAATAAGCCATTCACTTTATGGCTGTGTGCATGGAACATTAGTGTGTGTAACTAGTGGCCACATTTGCCTACAAATCCACAGTCACTACACTTTACAACAATTCCCTGTGAAATGCTTTGAGTCGTTGTGACGCTATAGACGCTGTGTTAAATGTGAGGATTATTTTCTAACCTACATTTCAAACCTGAACTTCACAATCGTGGATATGCTGTTGATGCTGTGTGGTATTTACAGTGAGAGGCGAGGAGACATGCAGTGAAGGGTGGGGTAGCAGTCAGTGGGGGTGGGGGTAGTTCATTTTGCTCCCGCATTACAATGAGATCTCCTTCCTCCCCGGACTCTCGCTTTTCGGCTTTGCAGGACGGTAGAATTCCTTGCTTTTGCCCAGCGACTCCTCGGAGAGAATGTTAAGGGTCCGGTTGTCGATTATCTTCTCCTGGTTATCCACTGGCTTCTTGTATTCCTCATTCAGGCAGGTTAGGTCATTCCTGGGAGCAAATAGGAATGTTGTGGACAGAGAGTGGGTGGTAGACGGTGTCCAAAATGTGTGGCTTTGTTCCTTTGATCTTTTCTCGTTTTCCTCCCAAACTGCAAATTTCCCCTCCCTCCCTACTTCCCTCCCTCTTACCTGTGCTGCCCTTCCCCGGGGTCATCGTAGATCTTCAACATGTTGTCCGTCCGCTCATCCTTCACTTCCTCGGGCTCTTTCAGTCTAGGGAAGACACAGAGCGACGAACTTCAGTAAGTGACACTCACAACCCACGTCTTTTTACCCCGTCTGTGCATTTCCCCCTCCGGCACACTTAAAAATACGCTTGAGGTCCCAGGTTTGTTCGATCCCTGATCTGCATTGAGTTCGTGAGGCCAGCACTCAAGATTACACTCAGTTATGGTTTATGTGTGTTTGTGTGTGTTCGTTTATGGGTGTGTGTAAGCACTCTGGGAACCAACCACGCATGAAGGGCACTATATAAATGCAAGTTGTTGTTGTATGTGGCTGATTGCCCTGCTAACACAAGTACTGACATATGAAAGCTCGGGTAAGCTATGGGAGGGTTTCTGTAGCGCTCTGCCTAGCGAGTTAGCAGCTTCAGGAGAGGATGAGGAGAGGAGGGAGTGGGGTGTGCAGGAGGGACTGACCTGGGCTCCAGCCTTTCTTTGACCTTGGCGATGGAGCGGATGTATGGCCCGATCTGGCGAGTGATGGTCGTCAGGTACATGTTCTCCTGCTTCAGCCGCAGCAGGTCGTGCAGTTGAGCTGGAGCAGAAAACAAGACAGAAAAGCGGATCAGGATCTGAACTTATGTAAAAGTGGTTAACGTCAGCGCACGGCAGCTCAAAGTGTTCTCCCCAGCCGGTCTGAGGCCACACCAGCAAACAGCAGCTTCCCCGTGCCTGGGACGCTACCCCGGTGAAGGGCGCTATATAAATGCAAGTTATTGTTGTTGTCTGGAGTGAGCTAGCCCCGGCCACAGTGCAGCTAAACAGCTAAATGTCTGTGTAACTTGTTATTATATCCGTGTAAGTAGAGCTGCTACCTTCATAAATCTCCTGTTCGTTTGCCACTCTCTGGTATGTCTCCTCCCAAACCTGGGATTGCAAAAGAAACAACAGCATTAATGTCACTCTCTCTCCACCATCTCCTCCACACCTCAGGCTGTGACCCATCCTGTGTGTGTTGCGTGTGTGCGCGTGTGTGTGTCTGGGTGCGAGCGCAAAGGGTGATGATGGGCCACAGCCCTTTCTGTTCGAAGACGGCTTCCTGCTTTGTGACTGCGTTCTTGCACAAGAACTTTGGTCAATTATTTTAAAAGGGAATTGGATAGATATTAAAGTGAGTGTGTGTATGTGTCTGGGGGAGTGGGGCAGGGGGTGTGTGGTCAACCGAGTGTCTCCAAACCAAGCTGAGATGTCCATGCATCCCACCCACACGAGGAAATTCCAGAGATGGATTGTTTGAATGGAATGCGCACTCTCTCCCTGGAGTACGCGTGTATGGTGGGGGGAGAGAACAGACATGTGAGACTGGATTGAGGGGCTCATATGGGGAATAGCCTGTTTCTGTCTGTAACGATAGGAGAGACAAGAGTAGGCCTGAGCCTCACCTCTTCGAACACAGCCTTAAGCAACTGGACAGAGGAGTAGTGTGAGGAGATCTGCACGTCCATCTCCAGTGACTTCTGCAGGATCTGCCCCATGGCATCTATCTTGATAAGCGAGTGGTGCTTGGTCAGGTCTCGGTGCATCTCCTGCACCTGGTCCTTCAGGTTCTGCAGCTGTGTCTGCAGGGTCTGACAGAGAGAGAGAGAGAGAGAGAGAGATTCAGGCGTGGGGCGAATAGTCGTTCAGGTGGGTTGTGCTGAGCTGGGATGGGGCTACGCTGGGGTCGGGGTGGTGCCGGGAGTGGGGTTGCATTGGACTGGGGCTATGCTGGGGTGGGCCTGTGCTGGGGTAGGGGCGGGATCTGACACCCGGCCCTCTCTTTGCCTGGGGGGGGGGGGGGGAACCAGTGTGGGGGGGTTGGGGTAAACCAGTGTGGGGGGGGAGGTTGCTGCTCGTAGCGCTCACTTACTCTGAACGTGTTCTCGTAGTTGCGGCAATGCTCAGTGAATGGACTCTCCAGGCCCTCTGTCAGCAGGACTTTGGTGCTGATGTAACGGTGGGAGGTCGGCTTTCGGGCCATTGAGTTGGTGACCGAGGCGTCACCCATGGAGCCGGGACAGCAGCCGCTCAGCGGGTTCCTGTCGGCAACAACCAGGTTCCTGTGTCAGACACGAGGGGAGGAGTAACCGTGTCACACTCAACACAACCACACACAGCGGCCAAATAACTCCACAGTGGGTAAAGCTCCCCACCCCCCAACCACACCGTGGAGCTCGTGACAGGCCGGAATGGGATCCCGGGATTCGGGATTAAATAAAGAACAACCTAGCCAGGAAGCGAAGGACGGACCTAAATTACAATCCTAGAATTTTACAGCGCAGAAGGAGGCCATTCGACCCATTGTGCCTGTGCCAGCTCTTTGAAAGAGCTACCAACTCGTCCCACTCCCTCACTCTCACCCCATTCATTTCGATATAAAAATAACCAATAAATTGGAAGCTCCCACTCTGGGGTCTGCAGTTCTAAACCCAAGGTCCAGTCACTGATCAGGTTGTTATTCCCAACAGGACGTGGGTTAAGACTCCCCCTGTCCCTACCCACTTCCCTCCCCAATAATCTCACAGCGAGGGGGGGTGGGGTGGGGGGGAGGGAGACAAACTGCTAAAGGTGACCAGTAAAGTTTTTCTGTAACAATGAGAAGGTGATGTATCACAACAGTAAATGGCAACAGACTATAACATCAGCACCGAGCTCCGCCAGCACACAACAACAACAACAACCCACAGCTCACCTCTGGCCTCCGAACGAAGCCTATGGGCCTTTGTCCCGTGTTCGGGCCCCGTCGGGCAGCACTAGTCCCTGCACCCGTGGTCAGATCCCCCCAGCCTGCCTCATGCCCTGGCCTCTCTGCTCAGAACGCAGCTCCCTCAAACTCTCTCGGTGCAGTTAGGGGCCACAGTGACGTCAGTAGGCACTAAATATACCCAATCCCAGTGAATCTTGTGCTGGAGAGTTCCGTGAAATGCTGATAAAAATAGCGATGGCAGAGGCAGGCTGCTCGCGGGGCCTAGCCTGCACCAAGCTCCTGTGCCAATCACTCATCACCACACGCGGAGCGATTAACATGAGCAGTGCCATGCGTCAAGTCAGTGATGGGCTGGGTGTCGGGGGGTGGGGGGGGGGGGGGAGAGGATTTGGAGGCGAGTAACTGGTTAATTAACACACACGCCAAGGGCAAGCCCGGCCTAGATTAAGCGCCCTGAGACATTACCCTGCGTGAGGGACGCTATATAAATGCAAGCTGCTGTTGTTCAGTCTCTGAGTCAAGGGTTTTGGCCCCGGGGGCAGTGGGGTGGTGGGGGGGGGGGGGTGGTAGGAGTGCTACATTCTCACATGTGCCGGCCTTCAAATGGATGTAAAAACCCGAGGTCCCGTCTATGCCTGTCCCAGTGAAGAATGTTAGAAAAGCGAAGGGAGTTTCTCCCGGTGTCCTGGCCACAAACTGTGCACGTGTCTACGTACACAGTCACTACACCTGACAGCAGTTCTCCCTGTGAAGCGCTGTGTGGCACTGAGGTGCTAAAGGAGCTGTAAAGGAATGCGAGGATGATGAGCTCAGGGCCTCGCGACGTTCCGAATGTTGGGGTGAAGTTTGCGGCATTTTATGACGTGTTCCCATCCCAGTCTCAGTCTAGCTCCCATTGGTAATCTCATTTTATTCCCAACCTCATTCCTGATCTCAATTCCTGCTCCTGATGAACGTCCTGTTGCCGAGGTCGCTTACATGTTGTTGCCGGAATGAGCGGCCGGCATTCCGGTGGCTCCGGGCACAATCCCGGTACTCCTCTGGCTCAGGAAGAGCAAAGCCTCCAGGCAGCGGGCGAACTCCGCCCGGTATTCCGTGTTTATCTGGAAGAGTCGCAACAACAGGAGAGCTTTCACCGTCTCTCTGCTGAGAAAATTGCTGGTCACTCGACCCACGACTGTTTGCGGGACGCTGCTGCGCGCAATTGGCTGTCGCGTTTCGTCCACAAAACACACAGTCACTACACGTTACAGTATATTCTGTGAAGCGCTTTGAGACGTCTCGAAGATATGATAAGGCGAGGCTTATTATTATTATATTATTATTATCTGTCCTGAGGGTGGGTATGGCTGAGAGTGGGTAATGGCTGAGAGTGGGTATGGCTGAGAGTGGGCATGGCTGAGAGTGGGCATGGCTGAGAGTGGGCATGGCTGAGAGTGGGCATGGCTGAGAGTGGGCAGGGCTGTGTGGCGCCGGTGTAAAAGCCAATGCTCTTTGCCGCCGGTGAATCTGGAGGCCAGTCGCTGTGAGCTCACCTTGCTGCTCTGTGCCGGTCGCAGACGGTGAGGCAGTTGGACAATCTTCTGCAGCCTCTCCATCAGTTGCTGTGAAAGAGACCCACAAAGAGGCTGAGACCTGCTCGCTTGCAGACACCACCCCCACTACACAAGCTACAAGCTCCCCTCACGTCTCCCCTCACAGCCACTCCTCTCCTGCCTCGGTGGCTCGCGCTCTCGTTTCTGGATCAGAAGGTTGAGAGTTGAAGCCCACTGTCTAGGGCTAACACTGCCCCTGGGAGGAGGGCTGCATTGTCGGAGATGCTGTCCTTTGGTAGAGACATTAACCCGAGGTCCCGCCTGATAGTGCACGCCTGCTCACACGGGCTCTTACTCACGTAACCGAGATCCAGGAACTCGTACTTGCTGGCAGAGCTGAGGAAAGCAGAACAGGTGACAAGGTGGACCTGAGCAAGGTGAACAACGCATCCATTTAGCTAAGTTACTCAAGATAGTAACACAGAGGTACACACAGAGGTACATGCATACATCGGCACTCACACACACACACAGAGGCACTGACACACACACACACGCGCACACACACAGAGGCACGATATGCACACAGAGAGGTACTGACAAACACACACGCACGCACGCACACACACACGCACACTGACGCACACAAACCCACACACACACACACACTGACACAGATGTAAGCTGTGTGCTGAGGGCCTTGCTGTAGTCTGGGCTGTGCTCACCTGCAGTGTGGGCAGCAGGGAGGCCATGTGCGTCAGCTGGTCCTTAAACGCTTTCTCTTTCTCCTCGTGTTGACTGTTTGGGGGGAAATGGGCAGATTTAACGTGAAACCTTCCCGGGAATCTCAGCTCCTCACAGACCGTCAGCAGCTCAGGGCGGGGCGGGCGGGTGGGGTGGTGGTGGGGGGTAGGTGGTGGGAAAATCTTACCTCTGGGCCGTTCTGAGCAGAATCTTTCTCCTGTCAGCCAGTCGCTCCTGAGACATAAAACGTAGAAACCAGTTATATCCATCGCCGCCAGCGCTTGCCTTTCACACTCGCTCGATTCACGGTGCGATCGCCCGCGTGTTATTATAATAATAATAATCCTGGCATTCGATGTGGCGCCTTATCACGTCGGCGAGACCTGTACCTGCATGCTGCAGAAGAGTGTGGAGATGGCAGCCTCCTCCTCTGTCACGTTGACCCTGACCTCGGCGATCATGGCTTTCAGCAGGATGATAGCCTCCCGCGTGGATGTCTGCAGCTCCTTCACAGCCTGGAGCGCGGGCGGCAAGAGATCACAGTCTCCCCACACCACCCCCCACCCCCACCCCCAGCAGCCACTCCCCAACCCCCTCGCTCCCCCCCCTCCCCCAACCCCCTCACTCAATCCCCATCTTGCAGCCGTTCTGCACACTCCCCGCACCCCCACTCGCTCCCACTCCCCCCCCTCTCTCCCTCTCTCATTCCCCCCCTCACTCCCTCCTCACAATCACTACCCCCGCGCTCCTACTCCCCCTCTCTTCCCCCCACCTTAAGCTCACTTCCCACTTGCTCTCATTCCCCCACTCCCTTCACTCTCGCTCTCACACTCACTATCCTTCACTCTGCACCCCACCCCCCTGCCCCCCCCAACCCCACCAGCCCCCATGTACCAGCACAGCCTGGTCCAGCTTCTCACAGCCCTGAACGTATGCTGTCTCGATGTCGATGCAATGGGCCCGGCTCTCTCTGCCATTCAGAGGAAAGAACACAACAAGTCACAGCTCAGCGTAACATCTCCCCTTCTCTCCACATAACGCCCCCCCGCCCCTCACCTCTAGTGCAATTCCCCCCCCCCGACAACAACAACATGCATTTATATAGTGCCCTTCACGCAGGGTAATATAATAAAAAATATATAATCCTTGCATTTGATATAGCGCCTTATCATATCTTCGAGACGTCTCAAAGCACTTCACAGAATAGAATATAAAGTGAATTGACCGTATATTTGTGGGCGAAACGCGGCAGCCAATTGCGCACAGCAGCGTCCCAAGAACAGCCGTGGATTGAAGTGACCAATTTTTTTTATTATCAGGCGTGTGGAGTAAGGAAACTTGCCCAAGTTTTCGTCCTGCCGGGAATCGAACCCAAGTCTCTCACGAGGTGAGTGTTCTAACCACTGAGCTACAGGATTCTGTAGCGTCTCATTCCCCCAGCGCTTAAACACACACACACACTCACACTTGCATGTCGCGGAAGCACTTGATGCAGAGCATGGATTTCTTCTCCGTGGAGAACATGATGTACGGCTCCTCGTGGAGAGCTGACGAGACACAACAACACGTCACCCTCTCATCTCAGCACAGACGCTGACATGTCACCCCCACAGCACAGAAGCGACAGGGAGCTCGGGGAGGGGTGGGGGGGGGGGGGGGTGTTGGTGGGGGGGAGAGCAATCGCCGGCACAGATACAATGGGGGAGAGAGCAGGGAATGGGATTAGAGTTGAGAGTTCCAGTGGGGGAGCGACCAGAATAGACCCGATGGGGTGAGAGCAAATGTAATTTGTTGTTGTTACCACATGCGGGTGGGGGTGGGTGGTGGGTGGGTGTGTGCGCGTCCTCTCTCACCGCATTTCTTGTGAAGCTCCTTGGCGCGCTTGGCGAGTGTCACGATCTCATGGCAGGCGAACATCTTGGCTTGGTGCGTCTGATCACGGCAGTTGGCACAGAGTGGCTGAGCACAGGTATTGCAGAAATACATTGAGATGGCGTCCTGTGAGAGGCACAAACACACAGTCACAGCTCTGCACCCCGTGTCCAGAAAAACAATAATAATCCTTGCATTTGATATAGGGCCTTATCACGTGAGACATCTCAAAGCGCTTCACGGAATATACTCTAAAGTGGATTGATTGACTGTATTTGTGGGCGAAACACGGCAGCTAATTGCGCACCGCAACATCCCACAAACAGTCGTGGATTGAGTGAGCCAACCTTTTTTTGAGGGAATATTACCCCCGCGGAAAAGCGATCTGCCAATCGACTAACAACCGGGTTCCTACTTACTGTTGGGTAAACAGAGGCGTGTGTGCGGATTAAGGAAACTTGCCTAAGGTTTCGCCCCAATCAAACCTGGGGTCTCTCGCTAGCGAGGTGAGCGCGCTAACCACTAAAGCTACTGCACTCCACAAATCTTCAACTGCGAACCCGTAGTGATCAGAAGAAGAGAACTGAGATCATTCCACCCCAACACCTTGCAGCCATTGCCTAGGGGCAAGAGGCTGAGATCAATGACTCAGCCCAGAATGTGTGTGTGTGGGGGGTGGGGGAGGGATCAAGCTCAAAGAACCTTCCCCCATCTCTAACCCATTTCTCACCTGAGAGAGGGCATCTCCGCCAATGCTGCGGTGCCCACCCCCCAAAAGCTCCCATGTGCGAACGTTAGCCTGGCCCCCAACACAGAAAGCCTCCGGGTTGACTCTCGCCTCCCCCCGCCCCGCCCCCCCCAACCCTCCTCGAGGGAAGAGGAAGGGTCTCTGACCTGTGTGCGACATTCCAGATCACAGTTGGCGCACTGTGTGACTTCCTCGCTATCGGCACAGCTGTCCACCAGGAACTTGAGGAGCTGGTCCACCCGCGGGAGCCCGTTGTTCCCCTTCACAACCGTCAGCTGCCTGCGGACACCATCAGCACGGTGACATCCATTGTTCCCTGCCTTCCCCCTCTCCCTCCTCTACCCCTCAGCGTCCCCACTCCCCCCTCCTTGCCTCTCCATCCTCCCCCCACCCCACCAACTCCCCCTCCACTCCACTCCTGCACCCACCCCACTCCCACTCACCCCCTCCCTGTCCCCCCTCCTCCCTGTCCCCCACTACGCGACGAGGTTCTCACATGGAGTCTGCGGTTTCAGCCAAATGCATCCTCGCTCCTTACGGTCGACCTGGGATTGTCCTGGGTTTGTGCTCACACTGAGCCGAGGGGCTGACACTGAGTGAGACCCTCACACTGAGGCTACTCGGCCTCTGGGATGAATCCCATGTGTCAAACACCCTGTCACCAGCCCAGGGGTGTTGGGGGTGGCGGGTGGGGGAAGGTGGTGGGTAGAGGCTATTACTGTCACTCTCTCTTCCCTTATCTCGGCCCCCCACTCTCTCTTTTTGCTCCTGTCTCTCTCCCCTTCTCTCTCTTTCTTTCTATGCCCCCGCCTCTGTCTCTCCCTTTCTCTCTCTCTGCCCCCGTCTCTCTTCCCTTCTCTTTCTATCCCCCTTCTCTCTCTCCTCTCTCACTTTCTGCCTGTCTTTCTCTCTCTCTGCCCCTGTCACTTTCTCTCTCTCTCTGCCCTTTCTCTCTGTCTCTCTCTATCTGCCTCTGTCGCTGTCTCTTGTTCTGCCCCTATCTCTCTCCTTCTTTCTGTCTCTCTCCCCCTTCTCTCTCTTACTGCCCCTGTCACTTCTTTCTCTCTTTCTGCCCCCACTTTCTCCCTCTCTCTTTCTTTCTCTCTCTCTCTCTCTCTCTCTCTTGCAGGATCCTATTGCGAGGGGAATGTTGGTGTCCTGTTCCAGCACCATCCCTTTTCACATTGTCAAACAATCTAAAATTATACCTTTAATAACAGATCAAATCTCCCTGAGATTCCCTGGGGTGAGGGGGGGGGGGGGCGGTGGGGGGTGGGGGGCGCAATCCCGAGTCCAGCCCAGAGCCAGGCTATCACCGTGCTCCCCTGTTCGGTAAACCGAGGCGTGTAGTTACCACCACCCTCTGGAACTTTGCCTCCTCATTTGTCTCCTGACGTGAAATGTAAAGCACTATACAAATTTAGTTTTGTATTGTATTGTAAAGGCATTGTGTAAATGTAATTTGTTGATGTTGTGGAGGAAGGAAACTTGCCTAAGGTTTTGACCAGCCCTTGGTGGAATCAAATCCAGGTCCTCTCTTTTGCGAGGTGAGTGGTCTAACCACAACAGCCTTTTTTGTGGAAGTGCCAGGATTTAATGTCAGGTATATTAATATCAGGTCCAAAATACAGAATTTAATCAAACAGAGTAAAGAAAGTATAGAGGAGAACTAAAAAAGGAAATAAGAGGGGCAAAGAGATTGTATGAAAAAAGATTAGTCGTAACATAAAAGGGAACCCTAAAGTATTTTATAAGCATATAAAGAATAAAAGGTTAGTCAAAGGTAGGGTGGGGCCGATTTGGGACCAAAGAGGAAATTTTCTTGTGGAGGCAGAGGGCACGGCTGACGTACTGAATGAGTACTTTGCATCTGTCTTCACAAAAGTAGAGGATGCAGCTAATGCCACAGTATCGCAGGAGATTGTAGAGAAATTGGAAAGGATAAGAATAAACAGAGAGGAGGTAATAAAAAGCTTGACGGTGCTCAAGGTAGATAAGTCACCTGGTCCGGACCAGATGCATCCTAGGTTACTGAGGGAAGTAAAGGTGGAAATAGCAGAGACTTTGGTCACAATCTTTCAATCCTCCTTGGATTCTGAAGTGGTGCCAGAGGACTGGAGAGTTGCAAATGTCATTCCCCTGTACAAAAAGGAGCAGAAGGATAAACCCGGGAACTATAGGTCAGTCAGCCCAACTTGGGGAAACTTCTAGAGATGATAATCCGGAACAAACTAAATTTTCACTAAGAAAAATATGGTTGAATAAAGGACAGCCAAGATTTGTTAAAGGCAAATCATGTCTAACAAGAGTTTTTTGATGAAGTAACGGAGAGGGTGGATGAAGGTAGTGCAGTTGATGTAGTACATATGGATTTTCAAAAGGTTTTTGATTAAGGGCAACATAACACACTTGTTAGAAAAATTGAACCCCACAGTGTTAAAGGAATAATGGTGGCACGGATACAAAACTGGCTGGGGGACAGAAAATAGAGAGTAGTGGTGAACAGTTGTTTCTCTGACTGGAGGGTAGTATATAGTGGTGTCCACCAGGGTTGGGTATTTATAAATGACCTGGTCCTGGGTATAGGGAGCACAAATTTCAATTTCACAATTTGCAGATGACACAAAGCCAGAAAAAGTAGTAAACGGTGAGCAGGATAGTAGCAGCCTGCAAAAGGACATAGACAGATTGGTGAAATGGGCAGACACGTGGCAGATGAAATTTAACGAAGTGATGTATTTTGGGTGGAAGAATGAGACGAGGCAATATAAGCTGATGGTACAATCTTAAAGTGGGTGCAGGAAAAGAGAGACCTGGGGGTCCACATAAGCAAATCTTTGTAGATAAAGCTGTTAAAAATCATATGGGATACTTGGTTTTATAAATAGGGACATAGAATACAAAAGTAAGGAGGTTATGATGAACCTTTATAAACACTGGTTAGGCCTCAACTAGAGGCTGTGTTCAGTTCTGGGCCCCACACTTTAGAAAGGATGTCAAGGCATTGGAGAGGGCGCAAAGGAGATTTACCAGGATGGTACCAGGAATGAGGGCCTTCAGTTATGAGGAGATGCGAGAGAAGCTGGGATTATTCTCCTTGGATCGGAGAAGGTTAAGGGGAGATTTAATAGGGGTGTTCAAAATTATGAGGGGATTCAATAGGGTGAACAGGGAGAAAGTGTTTCCACTGGCGGGCGGGTTGGTAACCCGAGGACACCGATTTAAAATAGTTGTCAAAAGAACCAGAAAGGGAGGTGAGGAGAAACTTTTTCACACAGCTGATCTGATCTGGAATGCATCGCCTGAAAGGGTGGTGGAAGCTGATTCGACAACGACTTTCAAGAGAGAAGTAGATAGATATTTGGGGAGAGAGCGGGGGAGTGAGATTAATTTGGATAGCTCTTTCAAAGAGCCGGCATGGACACAATGGGCCGAATGGCCTCCTTCTGCGCTGTATAATTCTATGATTCTATGATTTGGTTTCTTACCCACAGAGCGGGCAGGAGAGGCGTCCATCAGAGGCCCTGCCCCTCAGGCAGTTGGCACAGAAGGTGTGGTGGCAGTCCAGTAGGCAGGGATGCTCATACTGCTGGTAGCAGAGGTGGCAAACTAACGGGTGAGCGTTGGCATTGTCCAGGTCACACAGGCTTTCCAGCGGAGAGAAGATACCTCCCGACATCTACAGGGCGAAACGGCGGAGCCTGAAATAGTCAATGTCCCACCCGACCAGGTAATGGACACCCAGCCCCCTCCCACTACACACATCACCCCCCCTCCCCCCACACACACCCCTCTCCACACACACATACCCTCCCCACACACACACCCCTCCCCACACACCCCTCCCCACACACACACACCCATCCCTCCCCACACACAACCATCCCTTCCCACACGCGCACCCTCCCCACACACACACACCCCCCTCTCCACACACACACCCCCTCCCCACACACACATACCCTCCCCACATACCCCTCACTCCACTCGACACACACTTCACTCGGCTCCCCATGCACACACCCCTTCCCACACACATCATCCCTCCCATCTTGTGACTTCAACATCCCCACAAAATCCTGATAATGATCATATACATAAACCCAATCGCACAATAACAAGGTGCGCTTTCTGTGGATGTTTTAACACTGAATATCATTTCTGAGATGTAACAGCGGAACTTTGGTTTGGCTCACAGGACCTCCAATACTTTGGGAAATAGTTTGCATCAAACACGTGTTCCGTGAAGATCCAAGGCCGTTATTTCAACTCCTGCCAGAAGCACTTGTAAGAGAAACTTTGCAATATTTTGTCCTCTGGTCTGCGGTGAATACCAAGGAGTATGACTTCTCTCTCAACAGCCAAGCAGAGGCTGGAGTTTGCTATTCCCTGTCAAACGTAGAGCTTTCTAACTGAATAAAGAACCTCAACTGTATGAGCGGAAAGGCAGTCTCTGTAATAATAACACGAGGAGCTGGAGAGTGTATCTGGGAGCCTGACTCCTGTTCCTTACCTTGTTTTTGTCTCTCTCTCTGCTCTCGAACTGGAATGAAAGAAATCTTGGGTCTCTGTTCAAGAGCAGCTGCCTGTTGACGTCAGGACTTTGGTGAACTTGTGTCCTTCAGCAGTCTAAACGAGAGAACAGCTCAAAGCATGTAACGGGGGAGGGAGGATGGGCTAGATTTCCTCTCTTTACTCCTGAATCTTCCTTTTTGCGCACAGTTAATTCACCGATTAAAATATCAAAATCCTTTTTTAAAAAAACTGTAACAAGAGACCATTGAGTTCTGCTCACAAAACATAGTCAATCCACTTTACACTATATTCTGTGAAGCACTTTGAGACATCTCAATCACGTGATCAGGCACTATATCACTTTAGTGAATTAAATGCAAGGATTGCTATTATTATCATTGAGTTCAGGGACTGTTTTATGCAGATCGTTAGGTTTCCTGTTCACAGGACAGTGCAGTTTACGAAGAGTCATTTTATCTCCTGCACAGGATATTCCTTTGAAAGTGGAGCGTGATTCTGATTTTAAACTCATGTCATGTTCTGTATGAGACGTTTAGATTAGGTTTCATCCCAGATCTGAGTTCAGCTCCAGGGCAATAACAAAGGATGGCTGCATTGTCGGGTGGCTTTCGGTTGAGCCTTAAACCGAGGTCCCGCCTGTTGCCTATTTAGGTGGCTGTGACATATTTAAACGAGAAGAGAGTTTCTCCCAGTTCAGATCTGGTTGAGATTCCATTCCCTCCATTGAAATTCGGCAAAGAATGAATGAATCAATCATTCATCTCATTGCTGTGTACGGGAGAGATGCTATTGCCACATTGGAGACTGTAATGCAAGTTACTCTGAAGTTTAGAGACTGTAACATCATCTGGCCGGCTTGGCGTCAAACTACGGCGTTCCGAGACACTATGTAAATTGTTGCTGTAATAATAATAATAATCCTTACATTTGATATAGCGCTTTTCACGTCGGGAGGATGTCCCAAAGCGCTTCACAGAACAAACTGCAAAGTGAATTGACTGTATATTTGTGGGCAAACGCGGCAGCGAATTGCGCACAGCAATGTCCCACAGACAGTCGTAGATTGAAAATGACCAATTTATTATTGTTTTTGGTTTTGGAGGGATTATTATTAGGCTCTGTGTGGAGTAAGGAAAGTATTATTAGGCGTGTGCTGTAATCTGGCGTCTAATCTCTTGCGAGAGGACCTGGATTTGATACCCGGGCAGGGCGAAATGTTCGCCAAGTTTCCTTACTCCACACCCCCTCTGTTTACCCAGCAGTAAGGAGGAACCCGGTTAGTAGTCGATTGGCGGTTCACTTCCCGGGGGTAACAATCCCTCCAAAAAAAAAATTAGTAATAATAATTTGGTCACTCAGTCCACGCCTGTTTGTCGTGCGCAATTGGCTGCTGCGTTTCGCCCACGAAATGCACAGTCACTACACTTTACAGTATATTCTGAGAAGCGCTTCGAGAGGTCTTGGGAGGCAATGATAATACCCCCATATCAAAGGATTATTTATTATTACTATTAGTGTCCCACTGACAATGAACGATGAGGATGGTTTCCACTGGATTTCGATGAGGGAAGAGGGTGAGGAGAGAGGGTGAATGTGTGTGTGTATGTGTTTAAATCCAGGCCGAGCAGTGGATGCCAGAGATCCTGGATGAGCAGCGCGGTCGGGGTTCAGTGCGCATGCGCAGGAACATCGGGCGCGGTTCAGCGCGGGGCAGCCGGGTTGCCGCAGTGCGCAGGCGCGTTACGAGCAGGCCGAGGGGATGGGGTTTGTGCGCAGGCGCGGAGAACAGGCCCCGGGGGGGGGCGGGTCTGGTGCGCACGCGCGGGGGAGTCGCTCTCTCTCTCTTTCTCCTCCATCTTGTGCGGACATGGCGCCACTGGTGAGTGCGGCGCCGCCTCGACAGCCCGAGTGCCCGCGGGCGGCGGCCGTCCGGTCGGTCGGGACGGTGCGGCGAGTTAGCGGCTTCCCCCTCCCGGAAGCCGCCGCTCTCCCTCCTCCCTCCCCGCCCCGGGCGTCGCTTTCCGGCGCCGGACCCTGAAGCAGAACGTGTGGCCGAAGCCTGAGCACTAGGCCGCGGCCGCGGCCCCGGAGCCTTCGGGCTCCCAACGGAGTCGAAGACCCGCCGCTGTGGTCTGTGCAGCGGTCACCTCGTGTCCGGGGGGACGTGTGGGTTTACACAGCGTCTAAATGTGAATTTTATTAAATAAAAATAGTGCGGCAGATGTCACGGTTCCCCCCCCCCCCCCCCCCCCGGTAAGGCTGACTGAGGGGGTACAGCGACCTGCCCAGGCCGGTCGGTCACTCCCAGCCTGAGCCCAGGCCCCGAGTGTCGGCTGCGGCGGCACCACCAGGTGCCCATTTCACCCGCAAAAATGCCAAGCGCTCCGGGACGCCGCTCTGCCGAGAGGGGCGACATATAAGTGCCAGTTGTTGTCACGACTACATGGTAAAGGCGCCATTTCAAATGCAGGTATTATTATTATACCGCACACAGGATCCAGCTTTTTTTTTTGGAGGGGGGGGGGGGGGTGAGGGGGGGAATTGGGGTTGACGTCAAATGCGGCCTCCACTGCTAAGGGTGTTAGATAGGGTACCCCAAGGCTGACTTCTTGCAGCAATAATCTCTGCATTTGAGATAGCGCCGTATCACGTCCTCGAGACGCCTTGAGGCGCTTCGCGGAATATACTGTAAAAAGGGAATTAACTGTATATTTTGTGGGTGAAATGCGGCTTCCCATTGCGTACAGTAGCGCCCCACAAACAGTAGTGGGTTGATTCAGTGACCGATTTATTCTTTGAAGAATAAATAAATGTCAGCATTTTCCGCGGTCTGACATCACTGGGTGATGTGTGCTCTGCCGCCCACCTCCCACGCGATGACGGCTATCTATGGATGTCTTGCCCAGGATTGTGTGGACAGACCTGTTGTGTAGTTTCCCGTGGGCCCCAGCTCCCTGCTTTGGGTGCACTAAATCAGTGACGCTTTGGGTGAAACTTGACCCTTTGTGGGACTGGATCGTTCTCCCCGGAAATCTAAATGTATTGAGTTGTTAGCAGGAACGATCAGCAGGAATAAAAATTGCAATAAAAAAGGATCTTTACTTGTGTATAACACGCTGAGCACTGGCTTCAACCCTAACCTTCTCTGTACTACAACAACTTGCATTTATATATTGCCCTTCATGTGAGTGCTTAACAAGGCGTAGTTTGACACCGAGCCGGAAGGTGGGGAGGAGGGAGGTGACAGAAGACATGTTCAAAGAGGAAAGAAGGTATGATTTGAAGATGGCCAGAGAAGGGGATTGAAGCAACCTTGGTGAAGGGGATGAGGGACGTGCAACGTACTGAGCGAAGGCAGCAGGTGGAAGAGGTGTGTGAGCAGATCGGCGAAGTAGGGAGTTGCGAGGGCATAAAGAGATTTGAAAGTGAGGGTGAGGATCTTGAAATCGATCCATTCTGCAACAGCCAGTGGAACTTGGGAAAAGCTGGGGTGATGGGAGTTCGGAATAATAAATGTAGCACAGGCCGCTTGACAGATGTGATCAATCTCACTGTTCCTTCTCGCTCTTTTTGCAGAGGAAAATGCAGCCAAAGACTGGCAAAAAGAAGAAACCCGCTCTGAAATTTACGGTGGATTGTACACATCCCGTGGAAGATGGTATTATGGATTCATGTAACTTTGTAAGTCCACCTGGTACATTGCAGTTAATATAGAAACAAGAGGAGGCCATCGGGCTGGTTTGTTGGATCACGTTTTGATTAAGCTGCAATAAAGTGTTACTGTTGGAGTGTGCTGTGGAGAGAAAGCTGAGTGTGGTGTATTTATTTTTCTCTCCTTTTTTCTGTTAAGGCTCTGACCCATGCTGGGTACAGGCCTGTGATGCAAGTCATGCTCAGCATCTCACCTGGCCCGTGTAAACTTTTAACAGTGTAGCTCGTCACTGTCCATCTCTGGAAGGGAAAAAGTCAAAAACCTTCAGGAAAATGAAGGATAAAAATCAGAAATCAGAGGAAATACAGAAGACAGCCTCCTTCGCTCATTGTGGGGATCTGAGGCCAGCGCTTTATGACGGCTGTATTGTGGACAGGACGTTTGGCTTCCGTACCTCACCAGCTGAACTGCTTGAAATTCTTGTGGGTCTGAGAGCTGTGTGTACGTTATGTAATTGTTATGTGGGTTGTTTTGATGTTTGTGGGAATCTCAGTGAGTCATTGCCTGAATTAGAGACTGAAACACTTGGAGATGTTTGATACTAATCCTTGTGTTTGACACAATGCCGAGAGCATATCTCAAAGTGCTTCATGAGAATTCCTTCCATGTACAGTGACTGTTTTTTGTAAGCCAACGTGGCAGCCATTTTGTGCAAAGCAATGTCCAAATCAGGTGGTGAAGAACCAATTTACCAGGACAGGAGGATGGGAGAAATTCTCTTCTCTTTTCCAATAATGTCCTGTGTCTGTCAGAAGGTAGACTTTGGGGAAAGTTCACAAATTATTTAATGCAGAGGAAGGACAAGGGGATCCTGGGCCTAGGCTGCATTACTGGCAGCGACTGAGTTAATTACCTAGTTAGGCTCACTGGAGGAACCAACTATGTTTGATACAAGCAACTGTGAACATGAGATTTTACTTGATGTTCTGCTCGCTGTTATAATGTATAATGTGCACAAGCCAGACTAGGGCTCAGAAAGGTGTTGGTGTGTTTTACTGTGCTCATCGGGTGGGGGGCGGAGAGGCAGTGTTTTTCTCTATTGGAAACGTGATTTGTGGCCTCTCTGACGAGATTGTAGCTGAGCTTTCCCCTGTTGCCATCATCGCGTTTCCACCCTGTGATGGGATTGGGAGTTCGTGTTGATGTCCGGCCGGGAATGGAGCCCAATCCTTCAGATTCGGAGCTTCCTGTACCTAATTAGAGAGAGAGGGAATCGGTCTTGTTTCCCACCCTGTGCTTCAGTGGAAGGGTGAAGCTCTTTACTCCCATTAGAGCATTAAATAGAGCTCATCTTCAAAAATATGATTGAGAAACGCTTCATGTAAACATTTGCCTGTATTCCAGTACTTTTCACCTCTCCCCTCCATCGCCTCCCCGCACCACATACATAACACATATACATACACACAGACGCACGCATACAAAACGGGTACATACATATACTCGCAATCACAGGCACAGACTCGCACACACTCACATAGGGTCTCACACACACTCACTTTTAGACATGAGAATAAAATCTGAATGTTGTTGTGCTGGGTTGCAGGAGCAGTTCCTTCAGGAGCGAATCAAAGTGAACGGCAAGGCCGGGAACCTGGGCGGGGCCGTGACCATCGAGAGAAATAAAAGCAAGATCACGGTGACCTCAGAGGTCCCCTTCTCTAAGAGGTGAGTCACCGCAGAGACCGACCGGGAGATGCCGCGCAGGGTATTGGGGAGACCTGATCGGTCACTGCTCCAGTGACAATCTGCTACGTTTAATAATTCTGTCGTCTGATTCCTGCTTCAAACGTCAATTGGCTCGGAGCGCTGCACAGGAATTCAATTGCTGTGGAACGCAGCAATATATTGGCAAATGCGGGAGCCAATTTGATCACAGCAATATCCCACTGACAGCAATAAGGTGATTCAGGAGGGTTGTCAACCAGGACACAAAGAGAAATTTCTCTTTTCTGACAGTGTTGCTGGATCTTTAATGCCCACCATATGTGTCTGTATGAACAGGCAGAAATTCTGTGACACTTGTGGAAAAACGTAGGGATTTTTTCGAGTCAATAGTCCTCCGATTAATTGGTCATTCAGCTCATGGCAGGTGTGACACAGCGGTGAGTTAAGCGTGTCAGCCTGGCTCAGTGGTAGCGCGCTCGCCTCTGAGTTAAATGGTTGGGGGCTGAGGCCACATGTCGGGGTCTTGGAATCACATATTCTAAGCTGATGTTCCAGTGCAGTACTGCAGTGGTGGTGGGTTGCATTATCGGAGATGCCGACATTCAGATGGGACGTTAAACTGAGGTCCCCATCTGCCTGTTCATTTGGATGTTAAAAATCATGTGGCACTATTCGAAAAGAGAAGGGAGTTTCTCCCAGTGTCCTAGCCAACAATCCCCCAAACAAAAAAAAAAGTGACTTACTCACGGGACATTGCTGTGCGCAACTGGCTGCCACGTTTCACCCACTAAATACACAGTTAATCGACTTTACAGTTTATTCTACAAAGCACTTTGAGACGTCTTGACGGTGTGATCAAGCGTCATATTAAATGGGGATTATTATTAAAACAGCTGTTACATTTGTGCACATGTGGCAACATAACCAGATGCCATAAAAGTGCTTTAACGCACAAATATTGGGGAAATTTGCAAATTGTTTCTGCTGATCAAGAAGCTAAGCGTCCGGCTGGTGCCCATTTCCGGAGCACAATGCACTGCTGAATGCAGCCGTTTTCTTTCCCTGCAGGTATCTGAAATATCTCACTAAGAAGTACCTCAAGAAGAACAACCTGCGAGACTGGCTGCGTGTGGTGGCGAACAGCAAGGAGAGCTACGAGCTGCGATACTTCCAGATCAACCAGGACGAGGAGGAGGAGGAGGACGAGGATTGATCAGGGCGGCCTGGGGCTGATTGATTTGTACAAATAGTTCCAAATAAAATTGTTGAAAAAAAGTAAACAAACCCAGAGAATTGTTACGGTCTGACGCACTGACTGAAAGGGTGGTAGAAGCAGAGCTTTCAAAAGGGAATTGGATAGGTACTTTGGCTCCCAGCACCCAACCACAATAATAAGACCTTGAAACACCATCTTCCTCAGACCTGTTGTCATTCACTTCCTGCTCCTCTTTCTTTCCTCAGACCTCCCCTGGTCCAGAGCTTTCAGACAGCTTTATGTTGTCACTCTGGATTCTTGATCTTTTGCCTCACATGTTCTCTGCCCGTCATTAAAACCCTCTGAGCTTTTCTGTCCATTGATCAATGCCCCCAACACCTCGCCCCCCCATCTCAGTGATCCCCACAATCTTCGATCAGAGCCTCAACACAGTTATGCTGTGTGAACAACCACAGATTTCATTTATACAGTGCCTTTCATGTCAGGACGTTCCAAGGCGCTGGACAGTCAAGGAGCCACACCAGAGCTGGTGGTTGGCATGAGGGGGTGGTGGGGGGTTAGGGTGACCGAAGGCATGGCTGAAGAGTATGGATCTTGAAGGAGGCAAGGGGTGGGATTATTATGAAAACAGCTGCCACATTTGCGCACAAAACCAGCTACTATAAAGTGCTCTGAGACGTGAAAGATGCGGGTGATTTACCTTCGGGTTTGGTTGTGTGTTGTGTTCATACGACCCCTTGACAAGGGCGCGGGTTTACTCAATGGACTTTTCAGTATCATCAGATGTACATGCGTCACTATGTCGTCCAATAAAGGGCCTCCAGGGGAAGCTGCTTGAAAGCTGCTCCCTCCTCAACAGTGCGCAATGGGACTTGGAAGGTGGGTTAACAACTGTAGTGAAAAAATTTCCCTCGTTTCCTTTGTTGTTTGTTCAGACTTGCCAACTGATCACTGGGAGGAGGTGGAAGGGTGGCAGCTTGTACTTCCAACAATATGGCTCCTGTTCACAGCTATTTGCACGGCTGCAGATATGAGATTATCCCTACCCCCCCGAAGGCTGTGCGTGGGCGGAGAGGAGATGCCTGGCATCATCCATCGCGTGTGCCCCCCACTGGGGGCAGCCTACAGCCCCAGCCCCTCTCCACCAGCCCCACACCCTGTGGGCTTGTCGGGCTGAATGAATGGCTGGCTCCCATTTCTATGAATCGATTGCACCTACCCATTTCATATAACATTTAAGTTGTGTATCAAGTGTGGTCTTAGGCAAAATGCATCAGTCAATTTGAGCACAGCAGTGTCCCACAAACGGCTGTGAACAGTCCATTTCACCTGAAAGGTTATTTGATTGGACAGAGAACTGGGAGAAACTTTCCCTATTTTGCAATAGTGTTGTGGGATCCTAACTTTTATCTGAACTGACAGAAACACAGGACCCGGGTATCTTGTTTGACCCTGAACTGTCCTTTCTCCGCCACATCTGCACCATGACTGGCACCTCCTACCACCACCTCTGCAACATTGCCAGACTCCGCCACTGCCTCAACCCTCAGGCTGCCAAAACCCTCACCCACGCATTCGTCACATCAAGGCTCGATTACGGATAACTCCCTCCTCATCGGCCTTCCCAACTCTTCCCTTCACAAGCTGCAGATCATCGAAAACTCTGCAGCTCATGTACCCTCACGCACCAGGCTCCGTGACCCCATCACTCCCACCCTCACACGACTCCACTGGCTCCCCATCCCCCAGAGGATCGAGCTCAAGATCCTCGTCCTCACCTTGATGGCCTTGCCCCCTCATACCTCTCTAACCTGCTGACTCCCTACCAACCTGCCCGCTCCCTCCGTTCAGCGGGCACTGGCCTGCTCCATGTCTCTCGCCCGACCTGCCCTACCATCGGTGGCCGGGCTTTCAGCCTATCTGCCCCCACACTCCGGAACTCCATCCTCTGTCCCTTCGCCTCGCTTCCTCCCTCGCCTCCTTCAAGGCCAATCTCAAGAACCTTCTCTTCGATCGTGCCTTTGGTCTCCCTCCCACCTCTCTACCTTCCTTCACCCGTACACCACCCCTCCCCCATGCTCAGGCCCCGACTGTTCAGCGCTTTGGGACGTCCTCCCGACGTGAAAGGCGCTCTATAAATGTAATTTTGTTGTTGTTGTTAATGTGTCATCCAATGGACAACACTTCCAACCATCCAGCTTTCTTTCCAAACTGCACAAGTCTCAGCCTGGACTGAGCCCTGAAGTCCCGTTCTGGAACTCGAACCCACAACCTTCTGACCCATTATAGTGGACGAAGCAACCGCACACCACACATTGTTGACCCACCACTCCTTCCCACCTGCTGGCAGAGGTATCTCTGCTGGTGATTCTGGATTCCGGAGTCTTGGGAGCGAGTACCTGAGCCTTGTGACACTCAGCACAGGTACTGCGCTTGTACTGTAGTCAGATTCCAGTTAAACGAATGAAGTTGATAAGGCTCTGGGTAGCAAGCCCACATGGACGTTTTGACGGCCCCCGAAACTTTCTGCCTGCCAGTCATTGTTCCTGTTCCACCTGAACTTTTCCTGCCTTTCCTTTCCCTCCCCACTCCCCCAAATCATCACACTCTTCCCACTGCAGCGCATTCAGAGTCCATAGCACCGTCTCTTAATTCATTCTTTCCCAGCGTCTCAAGACAGACTCCTCCCAAGTCTTGACTCGCCCGCAAAATATACAGGCCGATTGATTTTACAGCATATTCTGCGAAGCGCTAGGAGGCGTCCTCGAAGATGTGATAAGGCGCTGGTTCAAATGCAAGGATCGTTACATTATTAACCGCTGCATTACCTGAGAGCACGCAGCCAATTCTCATTTGTGGCCCTTGACCTGTGCTTGTTGTGTTTGCACCGTGAGGAACATAGGCCTTGCCCAGAGTTCCCAATATTATACTGCACATTTTCTTTTAAAAAAAACTTACCGTAGTCTCACACCCCCTTCGAAACCTACCCCAGAAACACCGAACCCGCCTGCGATTGCAAAAACCAGGAACACGTTCCTTTAGAAACAAGAAGCGTACGTAATAATAATAACAATCCGGTCACTCGACCCGCGACTGTTTGCGGGACACCGCTGCGTAAAAACCGGCTGCCGCATTTCGCCCACGGGATGCGCGGTCGACCCCGCTTCGCGGTCGGTTCCGCGAGGCGCTTTGAGACGTCCCTTTGACCGTGCCTTCGGCTCCCCTCTCGACTCTCTACCCCCTCCTCGCTCCCTCCCTCCCCACCCCTCACCCCTCACCCTGACCATTTCCCCCCCCCCCCCCCCAATGCTCGGGTCCCGACCCGACTGTCCAGCGCCTCGGGACGTCCTCCCGACGTGAAAGGCGCTCCACAAATGCCATCTTGTGGATGCCGTTGCCGTCGTCCCGGAAGAGGCGCGACAGGGGCGCCGCGGACCCCCCCCCACCCCACCCCACCCCGGGCGAGGATCACCATCGGCTTCGACGGGAGAGAGCGCCTCATTTTGCTGCTCTGACGCGACTCTGACGACCGATCTCTTTACGCGGATAAATATAAAAAGAAGATGAAAGAAAGTAGGGAATCGTCGGCGGATTGAACCCGAAATATCGGGGGGTGGCGGGTGGCGGTGCGGTGTGTGTGTGTGGGGGGGGAGAGGAGAGGAGAGAGAGGACATTGCACCCCCCCCCCCCCTTCCTCTTCCTTTTGCACTCAACCTGGTTAACCACTAACCATAACTAGCAGGTTAAGGGCCATGATGGGATGCCCGTTACCCCGGCAACCAGGGCAGACGTCACAACTGGGCATGTGCGCTCCCATTTTTCCTGCCTCCCTCCTTTTTTTTTCTCTCTCTCTCGGTGATTATTTCTGGGGAGGGATTTTGGGGGGGGAGGGGAGGGGGGGGGGAGGAGGGAGAGCACAGACAGACAGACAGACACACAGAGAGAGAGAGGGAGAGGAGAGAGAGGGAGAGAGAGAGAGGCAGAGGGCTTGGATTTGGTGAGGCCGCCATCTTCTCACCTCAATAAGCTGTCAAAACACCAGTCAGTGGTTTGGGCTTCACTGAGAGCTCTCTCACACACACACACACACACTGCCCCCACCCCCACCCCACACCCCCCTCACCCCACCCCCACTCTCCCTCCCTCCCTCCTTCCTTCCTTCTCTCTCTATATCTCTCTCTACTGATCCTCTCTCTCTCTCTCACACACACACACACACTGCTCTCTCCCTCTGTCTCTATCTCAGCCTTTCTTTCCCTTCCCCCCTCCCTCCCTCCTCCCTTCTCTCTCCCCACCCCCTCTCTCTCTCTCTCTCACTCACTGTCTTTCTTTTCCTCCACCTCCCCCCCCCTCCCTCCACCCCCTCTCCACACACCCAGTGATGCCGGCGTCCTTTGGCAGTGAGGAGGAAGGACTGGAGGAGATGGACAGTCGAGAGGCAGCGCCAGGTATGGAGCTGTGAGTGTGAGAGGGAGAGAGAGGGAGAGGGGCTGTGTGTGGGGTGGGGGGGACTCTCCCCCTCTCTCTCTCTGTGTGTGTGTGTTTGTGTCTGTCTCCCTCTCTCTCTCTGTCTCCCTCTCTCTCTGTCTCTCTCTCTCTGTGTCTCTCTCTCTCTATGTCTCTATGTCTCTCTCTCTCTCTGTGTCTCTCTCTCTGTGGCTACACAGTGAACACAGTGAGTGAGGGATACATTGTAGCCTCGAGCCGGTTCCCTGGTGCGGAAGCCATTGGGGTCGGTGTTGGGGGAAACCTCCCAAGTTTCTCCCCTCCCCCCCCCACCCCCCCACCCCCCTCCCCCCCCACACCCCACACCCCCCCCCCCTCCTTCCCCTCCCCCTCCTCGGCCACAATGCGCTGTAACCCCCTGAGCTAATGGGAGCTCTCCCCCTCCCTCCCACCCACCTGCCCTGTCCCTGGGGTGGGGGTGAGGAGGGTGGGGGAGGGGTGGGGCGGGGTGAGGAGGGGAATGTTTAACCACATTATAATGTTACATTTATTCAGGTCTCCGTTCGGTCGCGACAAAGTGACAGAGAGAGAGAGAGAGAAAAAAGCGGCTCTGTGCCCCCCCTCTCCCCCTCTCCCCCCCTCCTCTCCCCCCAACACACACAGAGGGCGCCGCAAAACAGCCCCCACTTCCCCCCCTCCCCCCCCCCCCCCGGGGCCACACGGCTTAAAATGTCTGCGTGTTTTTCAGCAGGATCCCGGCGCGGCTCGTGGCGGGGGGGTACACATCCTCTTAAAATTGTTTTTAAATGTATTTTAATGCTCAGCGTTAACATGATCCTCATCACACGGGGGGGGGGGAATGTGGGGGGGTTGGGGTTTGAGGATTGATGCAATGGAGGAGGGAGAGGCTTTGTGTATGTGTTTTTTTTGGGTGGGGGGGGAGAGGCTTTGTGTGTGTGTGTGGGGGTGGGGTGGATCTGTGTGTCTATGGGGTGGGGGGGGGGAGGGGGGCAACAGACTGTTTTTTTTCGGAGGGGGGGGGTGTGGGGGGGAGAAAGAGGGGGACGCTCCCGTTCTCCTTTTCCCGACAGTGTCGCGGGATCTGGAACGGGGGCCCTGTGGCCGGAGCTCGGTTCAGCGTCTGCGAGACGTCTCCAAGCGCTTCACGGAATGCACTGTGAGAGTGTAGTGACTGTGCGATCTGCGGGCGGACCACGGCAGCCAATTGGGCGCAGCAGCGTCCCCCGCAAACGGCCGCGGGTCGAGGGACCAAATTCTTCGTCTTATTTTTGTATTGAATGCCCGGATTGTTGTTACGACGTTAACCCCCCCCCCCCCGCCCCCTCCCGCCCCCTAATGCTGAGGGTTTCTGGCTTCCCACAGAGGAGGAGGAGGAGGAGGGAGTCGAAGATGTCTTCTCCGAAGAAGAGCAGCCGAAGGTGATGAAAAAACGGAAACCACGGAAACAGAAAGAGAATAAGACGCCGAAAATGAAGAAGAGAAAGAAAGAGGTAATGAGAGGGGCTGAGCCGGTGTTGTGCGGGTGTGTGTGTGTGAGGGGGGGGGGGGGGGGGGGTGGCAGGCGAGTATGGCCGTGTGTGTGTGTTTGGGGAGTATGGCCGTGTGTGTGTGTTTGGGGAGTATGGCCGTGTATGTGTGTTTGGGGAGTATGGCTGTGTGTGTGTTTTGGGGGAAGGGGGTGTTGTGTGGACTCACTGTGTGACCCCCCCTCACCACTCCCCACAGGACCAGAAGTCTTCCACGTTCCTTATGGATGACTGGGGTTTGGAGGACGTGGATTACGAGTTCACGGAGGAGGATTACAACACGCTGACCAACTACAAGACCTTCAGCCAATTCCTCAGGTAACCCTCCCCCCTGTTTTACACCAAGCGCAACAAAATGATATTTATGCCGCCTCTTTCGCGACGGGAGGATGCCCCAAGGCATTGGACAGTTAAGAGTTAAGGGGTTGGGAGGGTGGGGAACGAGGGTGACCGAAGGCACGGTCAACGGGGAGCTTCTCGAAACGGGCCTTGAAGGAGGCAAGGTTGGGGGGGTGGGGTGGGGGGGGGGGAGGAACAAAGTTGATTTAAATGTTTTATTTTAAAACATTTAGTTTTATTTGGGTTTTTTTTTCAAAGCTGATTGAAAGGAGGAAATTAAATTAAACTAAGTTGCTCATTTTTACTGGGTTTTCCTGAGCGCTTGGCGTTTCGGTGAGTTTTACTAACAATAATAATTTAATATGGCGCCTTATCACGTCGTCGAGACGTCTCAAAGCGTTTCGCAGAATGTATTGTGCGTATCAAAAAAAATAATAACTGTGTGTGGGACACGTCTGTGTGCAATTAATTGCAATTAATTGACTTGCGTTTCATCCACAAATTATACAGTCAATTCACTTTACAGTAGATTCTGTGAAGCGCTTTGAGACCTCTCAAAGACGTGATAAGGTGCTATAGAATGCAATTATTATTATTATAACTGCAAAGTGCAGCGACTGTGTACTTCAGGGTTTGCGGAGCACTGGAATGAGATGTGAACAGACCACGTTGCGCCCCCCCCCCCCCCCCTCTCTCTCTCTCTCTCACCCACCTGTTTTCTGCCTCCAGGCCGCTCATTGCCAAGAAGAACCCAAAGATCCCCATGTCCAAGATGATGACGGTTCTGGGCGCCAAGTGGCGGGAGTTCAGCGCCAACAACCCGTTCCGAGGGTCTTCGGCGGTGCCCAACGACACCCCCACGGGGGATGTGGAGACTGCCGTGGAGCAGGCCATCGCCGCTCCCCCCCTCCCCATCCCCCCGCTGCCCCCCCCACAACCTCCGCCCCTCCGCAAAGCCAAGACCAAAGAAGGGAAAGGTAATGGCTTCTTCGCGTACATCAAAATCATATCATAATGAATCAGTAATCAGAATAATCCTCCTGTTTGATGCAACAACAAATGACATTTACACGGCGCCTTTCACGTTGGGAGGACATCCCAAGGAGCTGGACAATCAAGGATTTCAATTCCAAGCTGGGGGTTGGGATCAGGAGGAATGGAAGGCAGGGAGAGTAGGGCTAGGAAGGTGGCCGGTCGAAGAGGAGGGTCAATGTGCCTCACGGGGGGGGGGGTGGGTGGGTGGTAATTTGTCAAGTGTAGTGACTGTGTGGGCAGTTGTGACAGGCAAGTTGTACACACAGCCACAGGACAAATTACTCTTATCTATGGGGTGGATTGTCACTGAGAGGGTGAGAGAGAAAACGCCTCGTCTGGTCGAATTCAAGATCCTCATCCTCGCCTACAAGGCTATTCACGGCCTCGCTCCCTCCTACCTCTCCGACCTACTATCCCCCTACTTAGCTGCCCGTACCCTCTGTTCCTCTGGTTCCGGTCTGCTCCACATCCCCCGCCCCAACCGCCCTACCATCGGTGGATGGGCCTTCAGCCTCTCAGCCCCGAGGCTCTGGAACTCCATCCCCCAGTGCCTTCGCCGCTTCCTCCCTTTCCTCCTTCAAGGCCGGTCTCAAGACCTTTCTCTTTGACCGTGCCTTCAGCTCCCCTCTCGACTCTCTACCCCTCCTCGCTCCCTCCCTTCCCTCCCTCACCCTGACCATTTCCCCCCAATGCTCGGGTCCTGACCCAACTGTACAGCGCCTTGGGAAGTCCTCCCGACGTGAAAGGCGCTCTATAAATGGAATCTTCTTGTTGTTGTTGTTGTATCGCACTACCATCATGTCCATCAAAACACATATGGACAGGATGTCGTTTTGGGACTGAAAATAAGAGGGTGTGTGTGTCTCAGAAAGCAAATGGTGGGGTGGGGGAATGGGGTGGAAGAGTTACTGAGCCCTGGGTGGAGGGGGGTGATGGGCGGACTCGCTATGGCTGTATCTGTGACCTCTCCGCTCGCAGGCCCCGGCGTCAGGAAGAAGACTAAGAGCGCTCGGGCTGCCGAGCTGAAGAAAAAAGGGAAGGTGAAGAAGATGGCTCCTCTGAAGATTAAAATTGGAGGTGGCAAACGCAAAAAGACCTCTTCGGTAAAAGCGCCCCCCACACCCCCATTCCTCCCCCCCCCACTCCTCCTACTCCTCCACCCCCCCACTCCTCTTCCTGCTCCACTCCTCCTCCCGCTCCACCAAACCCCCGCTCCACCCCCTCCTCCCGCCCCCACTCCTCCTCCTCCTCCACACCCCCCCCCACCACCACCACTCCTCCCCCTCCTTAGGAGGGAGGTTGGGATGGAAGGAGGGATGAGAAGATTTGGATTGGGGGGAGGGAGGGGTTTGGGGAAGGGTGAGGGTTTGGGGAGGGGGTGCCGCTCATGTGTGAGAGCTGTGTAGTGACAGCCCACGTGGGGGCCGGTGACTGAATGATGTTTGCCCCCACAGAGCGAGGAGGATTCGGACGCGGATGATGGCAGTGGGAACGGCCCCGGCTCTGGCTCTGGTTCTGGCTCTGGCCCCGAGGGCGGCGGGAAGAGAGGACGGAAAAGCGGGAAAAGGAAGAGAAAACGTAATTCCAGTGGTTTACTCCCGCATTGCGTTACCCGCTCCCCTCCCCCCCACCCCCCCCACACCCTTTCCCCGCTCCCCTCCCCCAGGCCTCTGCTCCTGTTATTAACGATTCCCTTTCCCTGTGATTGCCAGTGGAGGACGGAGATGGCTATGAGACAGATCACCAGGATTACTGCGAGGTTTGCCAGCAGGGGGGTGAGATCATCCTGTGTGATACCTGTCCCCGGGCCTATCACCTCGTCTGCGTGGAGCCTGCGCTGGAGACCGCACCCCAGGGCCGCTGGAGCTGTATGCACTGTGTAAGTCTCGGCATCTTCCCCTATCCCCCGCAGTACACTCGGTGAGCTGACTTTTACCTGGAGTCCTGTAGTGTAGTGCGTTCGCCTCGCAGGTGAGAGAATCCAGGTTCAATTCCTGGGTCGGGCAAAACCCTTGGCAAGTTTCCTTATTCCGCACGCGCCTCTGTTTACCTAACAGGGTGTAGGAACCTGGTTGTTAGTCGATTGTTGGATCGCTTTTCCAGGGGTAATAATCTAATAAAAGCTCAATCCACGACTGTTTGTGGGACGCTGCCCGGCGTTATTGGCTGCCGAGTTTTGCCCACAGAGTACACAGTCGATTCACTTTATAGTATATCCTGTGAAGTGCTTTGAGACGTCATTAGATAATGCGCTATGTCAAATGCGAGGATTGTTGTTACCTGATCAACTCCGCAGGAAAAGGAAGGGGTCCAGTGGGAACCGAAGGAGGACGACGATGATGAGGAGGAGGATGAAGAGGAAGGGGTGGAGGAAGAGGATGACCACATGGAGTTTTGCCGAGTGTGTAAGGACGGAGGCGAGCTCCTGTGCTGTGACACCTGCCCCTCGTCCTACCACATCCACTGCCTCAACCCGCCCCTTCCCGACATTCCCAACGGCCACTGGCTGTGTCCTCGCTGCTTGGTGAGTTCCTTGCTGAGTGTGGGGAGGGGGTAGGCGGAAGGGATCCCTACTGTGCGTAATGGGGTGGGATGTGTGTGCGTGTGGGGGGGGATGTCCCTCACTATGTGGGTGGGTGGGGCGGCAGGGGCTTATGAGGTATAACCTGGGAAAATGAGTGAGAAGTAAACGTGGACGAGTGCATATCTGAGCTGAATGTTGATCTTCTCTGGTTTCAGTGCCCGGCTCTGAAGGGGAAGGTGCAGAGGATCCTACACTGGTGCTGGGGGCCTCCCCCACTACCTCCCACTCCCCCAAGCATACCGGACCTCGCCCCGGGCACTGAGCCCCCTAAGGCCCTGGCAGGGAGGCCAGAGCGAGAATTCTTTGTGAAGTGGGTGGGGCTGTCATACTGGCATTGTTCCTGGGTCACAGAGCTGCAGGTAGGTGGGGGAATGGGGTCTGGGGTGGGGGGAATTGTCACCTTCACACGGCTGCAGTTGACGTGATATTTTTGGGGGTGGGGAAGTGTGGTGGGTGGAGGGGGGGTAGTGTGCAGCTGGGTGTCTGTCGCTCGCGGGAACCCATTACCGTCCTTAAGAGTATCCAAGCCAAACTGAGAATTCCATGCCTCCCACCTACACGTGAACATCTACCCTGTACGGAGGGCACTGTGAGTGCAAGCTGCCGTTATTGATGTTGGTCCTTCCAAGTCCACGTCTATTGACCCGATCACACCTATGGTCAGCTCCTCCCACCCCCACGCCAGTCCCCCCACCACAGGGCAGTGAGACATGATCCCGTGGGAAGGCGCTGTGTGTGTACGCGCGTTCGAGCGTGTGCGGCCACCACCATGTGTCGCTGACCGGTGTCGCTCTGACCACAGCTGGAGCTGCAGCACACCGTCATGTTCCGGAACTTCCAGCGGAAGAATGACATGGACGAGCCGCCGGCGTTTGAGTATGGCTCTGGGGACGACGAGGGGAAGAGAAAAGATCCGGAGCAGGCGGACATGGAACAGAAATATTACCGCTACGGTATCAAACCCGAGTGGCTTATGATGCACCGGATCATCAACCACAGGTACCGCATCCACCACTGGCTCCGTCTCTAACCCTGACCTGGGATCTGGGAGTGTTGTTGGACAGTGCAGAGGGAGCTTTACTCTTGTCTCTAACCAAATTTAAATTAAATTGGCTGCCGTGTTTTGCTCACAAAATATACAGCCTGTTCACTTTACAATATATTCTGTGACGCGCTTTGAGGCGTCTCGAAGACGTAATAAGGCACTATATGAAATATAGAGATTATTATTATAACCATGACCTCGGTGTGTGCACAGACAATGTAGAGGGAGCTTTACTGTGTGCTCAACCTGTGTTGAATGTTGCTGTGTGACTGACTGAGTGACTGACGGTCGGTGTCTCTGTCCTGGGGCAGCATAGACAGGAAAGGGGAAGTACATTACCTGATCAAGTGGCGGGACCTGCCCTACGACCAGGCGACCTGGGAGTTTGAGGATTTCGACATTCCCGACTTCGACACCATGAAGGATAATTACTGGAATCACAGGTTAGTCAGTGGCCCCCCGCCCTCACTAAGCCCCCCCACCGCCACCGAACAGTTGGACTGTCAGCTGAAGGCCAAGTTAGGGCCCGACTGTGCGGCCCTGAGCTCTGACCTAGAGTTGGGAGGATCCCGGCTGACACGATCCTCAGGTACGGTATTCCCCCCACACAGCACTGAGCTGTCTTCCCCGCTCTGCGTGTCTGCGCCCTCCCTCCCATTCCCCCCGATTAACCTGTGCTCCCCCCCCCCCCCCCGCCCGCCCCCGCAGGCAGCTGATTATTGGTGAGGATGGCAGACCATCCCGGAAACCCGGCAAGAAAATCCGCAAAAGCAACGAGACCGAGTTCCAACAACAGCTGGGATCCCCCACTGTGGATGTGAGTACGAGTACGTGGGGGTGGGGGGGTGGTGGCTGTGTGTGGTGGGGACTTTGTTTGTGCCATAATCTTTGACCGAGAGTGACTAACCCAGACTGGCCTGTACCTGATGGAGCTGGTGGAGTTTACATGTTTACGTGATGTGTTTCTCACCCCCTCCCCCCCCGGTACAGCCCACAGTGAAGTTTGACAAACAGCCGGATTACATTGACATGACGGGGGGCACACTGCACTCCTACCAGCTGGAGGGGCTGAACTGGCTGCGTTTCTCCTGGGCTCAGGGGACCGACACCATCCTCGCCGACGAGATGGGCCTCGGCAAAACCGTGCAGACCATTGTCTTCCTCTACTCGCTCTTCACAGAGGTGAGCGCGGTCAGGGGGGCTGCCATTCGCGGGGAGTGGGGGGTGGGGCTCCGATGGTCTGTATAATTGCAAATTATTGTCCTCGTCAGTGTGGCCGCCGAGAATTCCTAAATTGAAGAAGGGCTAATCTGGAAATGATAAAAGTTTGTGCACTATACGTCTCAAAGCGCTTCACGGGTTATACTGTAAAGTGTAGTTACTATGTGTTTTGTGGGTGAAACACGGCAGCCAGTTGTGCACAGCAGTGTCCCACAAACAGTCGTGCATTGAGTGACCATATTATTATTTAAATACTGGATAACCAGCCACCTGATGTTTAATATCAAAGGTTAATAGGACATATTGTGCGGAGAAAGATCGCGTGGTCTAATTGCAAGTCGTGTGGGTGTTTGTAAGGCAATGTCCTCACTCTTCCTCTTCTTCCCCCCCCACCACCACCCCAGGGCCACTCCAAGGGCCCGTTCTTGGTCAGTGCCCCGCTCTCCACCATCATTAACTGGGAGCGTGAGTTTGAGATGTGGGCGCCCGACTTGTACCTGGTCACGTACACGGGGGACAAGGACAGTCGCTCCATGATCCGCGAGAATGAGTTCTGCTTCGACGACAACCCGATCAAGAGCGGCCGCAAGCACTTCAGGATGAAAGTGAGTGTATGAGAGGGTGGGAAGGGTGTGCGTGGGGGTAGGAGGGGTGGGGAGGGTGGGTGAGTGCAGCTGTGTGTGGGAGAGTTGGAGTGATCTGGAGTTTATCCTATGTGCCGGTTGGTGGGGGTGGGGTGAGGCGGGAGGGCTGGAGTTCCTGTGTGCCGGGGATCTTCGAATTCAAAATCCTCATCCTCACCTACAAGGCCATTCACGGCCTCGCTCCCTCCTACCTCTCTGACCTACTATCCCCCTACTTACCTGCCCGTACCCTCCGTTCCTCTGGCTCCGGTCTGCTCCACATCCCCCGCCTCAACCGCCCTACCATCGGTGGATGGTCCTTCAGCCTCTCAGCCCCGAGGCTCTGGAACTCTATCCCCAGTGCCTTCGCCGCTTCCTCCCTTTCCTCCTTCAAGGCCGGTCTCAAGACCTTTCTCTTTGACCGTGCCTTCAGCTCCCCTCTCGACTCTCTACCCCCTCCTCGCTCCCTCCCTTCCCTCCCCCTGACCATTTCACCCCTGCTCGGGTCCCGACCCAACTGTGCAGCGCCTTGGGACGTCCTCCCGACGTGAAAGGCGCTCTATAAATGCAATCTTCTTGTTGTTGCTGGGGAGGGAGGGAATCGATCACTGACTTGTCACACGTGACCTCCTGTTTCAGAACCAGGCTCACATCAAGTTCCACGTGTTGCTGACCTCGTACGAGCTGATCACCATTGACCAGGGGATCCTGGGCTCTGTGGACTGGGCCTGTCTGGTGGTGGACGAGGCCCATCGGCTGAAGAACAACCAGTCAAAAGTAAGAGTCGACACCTCGGTGTCTCCTGGCCTCCAGTAGGCTGAGATACGCCTGACACTATTTCGCTCTTTTTCCCAGCTGCTTTGCCCTGACTCGCTCCTCCCCCAACACGAATTGTGCCCAGTGACATAGGATTTAGTCCCCCCCACCCCAAAGATAATTACGAACTTTATATTCCCCCAACGTGTGTGGAGTTGACAGGAGGGTTCCTGCGTGTGTGTGTTTGTCTGTCTCTCTCTCATCATCTGTGTCTCTGTCTATTTGTCCCCATCTCTCACTGGGTCTATGTGTGTTTATGTGCACACATGCCCATGTGTCTGTCTCTTCCCCCTCCTCCCTCGGTCTGTCTATCGCCCACCCTCAGTCTGTTTCTCTCTGTCTCTGTCTGGGTGACTTGCTGCTGTTTCTCAGTGTTGTATTTCTCAGTACTTCAGGGCCCTGAATTCCTATAAACTGGATTACAAGCTGCTGCTGACGGGAACACCGCTGCAGAACAACCTGGAGGAGCTTTTCCACCTCCTCAACTTCCTGACGCCCAAGCGATTCAAGTAAGTCACTCGCTGTCTCCCAGAGCAGCTGCTTGTCCAAGAGAAACTTCCCTCTCTCTCTCTCTCTCAAGCTTGTGTTCTCTTTCTCGCTGCATTTTCTCTCTCATTCCCGCTCTCATGCTTCCTTCTCTCCGCATACGTTTTCTCTCTCACACAAGCGATTCTCTCTCCACTCACGTTCTCTCCCTTCCTCTCTCGCTTTCCCCCTCCACAGTAACCTGGAGGGTTTCCTGGAGGAGTTTGCCGACATCTCGAAGGAGGACCAGATTGAGAAGCTCCATGTCCTGCTGGGGCCTCACATGCTGCGGAGACTCAAGGTTGACGTCTTCAAGAACATGCCGTCCAAAACCGAACTCATCGTTCGTGTGGAGCTCAGCATCATGCAGAAGTGAGTCGGGGCTTTGAGACGTCACGAAGACGTGATAAGGCGCTATATCAAACACAAGGATTCTAACCACATTCCCCCTGCCCCACCTCCCACCCACCTGAACTCTTAACGTGTAATGTTAATGCAGCACTTTGCAATATCTCAAACCGCTTGTGGATTCCAGTAACATAGTGGTTAGTGCACTCGCCTCGCAAGTGAGAGGACCCAGGTTCGATTCCCGGGCAGGACAGAACTTTAGGCAAGTTTCCTTATTCCACACACACGCCTCTCTCTGTTTATTGAGCAGTATGTAGGAACCTGGTTGTTAGTCGATTGCTGGATCACTTTCCAGGGATTGCTTTCCCCCCTCACGCCCCCAAAAAGAATGTGGTCACTCAATTCCCGAGTGTTTGTGGCACGCTGCTGTGCACAGTTGGCTACCACGTTTTACCCACAAAATACGGTCACTCCACTTTATAATATATTCTGTGAAGCGCTTTGAGATGTCTCAACTACATGATACATAATAATCAAATGCCAGGATTATTCTCATTGTTCACGAAGCGAGTTACTTTGAAGTTTAGTGACCGTTACATTGACAAACGCGGTGGTTAATGTCTTGCCTCTTGCCCCTGCAGGAAGTATTACAAGTTTATCCTGACCCGGAATTTCGAGGCTCTGAACTCGAAGGGAGGCGGCAACCAGGTGTCACTACTCAACATCATGATGGACCTGAAGAAGTGCTGTAATCACCCGTACCTCTTCCCCGTGGCAGCCGTGGTGGGTATCTCCCTCGCTCGCTCTATCTGCGTCTCCCTCGCTTTCTCCCCTGCGCTCCCTCCATCACTCGCTTCCCCCCTCTCTCTCTTTTTCCTTCCCTCCTTCTCTCTCACTGTGCTGCTGTGTTGACAGGAAGCCCCGGTTTTGCCGAATGGATCCTACGATGGCAATTCTCTGGTGAAATCCTCGGGGAAGCTGATGCTGCTGCAAAAAATGCTCAGAAAGCTGCACACCGATGGGCATAGAGTGCTCATCTTCTCTCAGGTCAGAGAGGGGTGGGACAGTGAGCACGGTGGGTGGGTGTGTGGGTAAAGGGTGGGCAGCGGAGGGGGGAGAAGAAATGGTGCAGGGGTGTCAGGATAGTGTGTGGGTGTCAGTGTCTTGGGGGGAGGGGTCAGTGTTGGTGTGCGACAGTGGCTGAGTGAGGCTGTGACAGATGTGGGTTAAGGGTGGGGGGGGGCAGTGTCGGAGTGGGGGGTGCTTGGGGAGGGTGGTGTCAGTGCGGAGGGTACATTGTCGGTGTGGGGGGGGGGGCAGTGTCGGAGCAGGGGGTGCGGGCGGAGTGGGGAGGGTGGTGTCAGCGCGGCAGTTGGGGGTGGCAGTGTCGGTGTGTGACGGTGACTATGGCTGTGACAGATGACCAAGATGCTGGACCTGTTGGAGGATTTTATGGAGTTCGAGGGCTACAAATACGAGAGGATCGACGGCAGTATCACCGGGAACCTGAGACAAGAGGCCATCGACCGCTTCAATGGTGAGACCCCGGCCCCCCCACCACCACCACAACAGTTAGACTCCGAGACTCCCTGCACACCTGAGGGTTGGGAGTTTTGTAGGGAGGAAGCTTGGGCGGTTTCGGTGAATGGGTGGGGGCAGTAGCGGACGGGTGGTGGGGGGAGGAGAGAGCTGGAGAAGTGGGGTGTTGTGGGGGGAGGGGTCTTGTGCCAAGCATTCAATGGTGTCTCTCTCTCTCTTGCCCTCCGGCAGCCCCCGGAGCGCTGCAGTTCTGTTTCCTGTTGTCCACGCGGGCCGGGGGTCTGGGCATCAACCTGGCCACAGCCGATACCGTGGTCATATACGACTCCGATTGGAACCCGCACAACGACATCCAGGTGAGACTCTCCCCCTCCCCGCAACCCCACCGCCCCTCCCCACCCACACACACACCGCTCTCGGGCGCAGCAACAACAACTTGCATTTATTTGGCGCCCTTCACACGGGGAAGCGTCCCAGAGCGCTTCACAGGGTCTGAACGCCGAGCCGGGGGGGCGGGATGGATGGGGATGTGTTTCGGGCAGGTTTTTTTTTGCCAGTATCACTTGGCAGTGCCTCCAGGGGGCGACACTGAGAGCCAGTGGCGAAGACATGTTATCATTCTCTTTAAGCTGCCTGGTTGGGGGAGACATTTAAGATGTTGGTTCACGTTGAACGTTATGGCGCAGCGCTTTCTCGTCTCTTCCGGCAGCACACACATCTCCCTCTCTCTCTCCACCACCCGCACCCCCCCCACACCCTCTCTCGCAGGCGTTCAGCCGTGCTCACCGCATCGGGCAGAACAGGAAGGTGATGATTTACCGCTTTGTGACGCGGGCCTCGGTGGAGGAGAGGATCACACAGGTGGCCAAAAAGAAGATGATGCTGACACACCTGGTGGTCAGACCGGGGCTCGGCTCCAAGTCCGGCTCCATGTCCAAACAGGAGCTCGACGACATCCTCAAGTTCGGCACCGAGGAGCTCTTCAAGGACGACGAGGGTGAGAGGCCATTCGGGGACGAGGGGGGTGGGGGGTCTGTGGGTCTCGATCTCCCCCTCCACTCACTCTCTTCAACCAGCACCTCGGGACCTCCTCCCGGCGTCAAAGACTCTGACCAAATGTTGCCGCTTGTTATCGTTGTTTATTCCGCTACCCGCCACCTCCGCTCGGCTGGCTCCGGCCTCCTGCTTGTCCCCTTGTCCCCTCCGTTCCACCATCGGTGGCCAGACCTTCAGCCACTGCGCCACGCAACTCTTTTTCTCCCTATTCTTCTGCATTGCCCCCCCCCCACCTCCCTCCCAATCTTCAGATCGCGTCTGAAGACCTTCCTCTTCGACCGGTGCCTGCGGTCACCCCGCCCCCGGCTTGGCGTCGTGCTCCGTCACTGTCGGGTGCTCTGGGGCGCTGCCCTGCGTGAGGGGCGCTGTGTGACTTCAAATTGTTGTTGTTGTCGCAGCTGAGAACAAGGAGGCCGAGGAGAGCAGCGTTATTCACTACGACGACTTCGCCATCTCCAACCTGCTGGACCGTAACCAGCGAGAGGCTGACGACCCCGAGATCCACAACATGAACGAGTATCTGAGCTCCTTCAAGGTGGCTCAGTATGTGGTGCGGGACGAGGAGGAGCAGGTAACTGCAGCCCCCAGCATGTTCTTACCCCCACTGCCCCCAACCCTCCTCTTCCCAACCTCCCCAACCCTCCTCTTCCCACCCTCCCCAACCCTCCTCTTCCCACCCCCCAACCCTCCTCTTCCCACCCTCCCCAACCCTCCTCTTCCCACCCTCCCAACCCTCCTCTTCCCACCCTCCCCAACCCTCCTCTTCCCACCCTCCCCAACCCTCCTCTTCCCACCTCCCCAACCCTCCTCTTCCCACCTCCCCAACCCTCCTCTTCCCAACCCTCCTCTTCCCAACCCCCCCCAACCCTCCTCTTCCCAACCCCCAACCGCTTCCCACCCCTCCTCTTCCCGCCCCCCACCCCCGACCCCTCCCTAGGCTTGGCGGTTCTTGGCATGATGGGGGGGGGTGGACGGACAGTGGGGGGCTGGACGGACAGTGGGTGGGTGGACGGACAGTGGGAGGGTGGACGGACAGTGGGAGGGGTGGACGGACAGTGGGGGGGTGTGGACGGACAGTGGGGGGGGGTGGACGGACAGTGGGGGGGGCGGACAGTGGGGGGGGGTGCGGACGGACAGTGGGGGGGGGGGCGGACGGACAGTGGGGGGGGGGGGCGGACAGTGGGGGGGACAGTTGGGGGGGACGGTGGGGGGGGGGACAGTGGGGGCGGACGGACAGTGGGGGACGGACAGTGGGGGAGGGGGACAGTGGTGGGGGGGACAGTGGGGGAGGGGGACAGTGGTGGAGGGGGACAGTGGGGGGGGGGACAGTGGGGGGCGGACGGACAGTGGGGGGGCGGGCGGACGGACAGTGGGGGCGGGGGACGGACAGTGGGGGGGGGGGCGGACAGTGGGGGGGGCGGACAGTGGGGGAGGGGGGGACAGTGGGGGGGGGGACGGACGGACGGGGGGACAGTGGGGAGGGGGACAGTGGGGGGGGGGACAGTGGGGGGGGGCAGTGGGGAGGAGGGACAGTGGGGGGCGGTGGGGAGGGGGACGGTGGGGGGGGACGGTGGGGGAGGGGGTACAGTGTGGGGGGGGTACAGTGGGGGGAGGGGGACAGTGGGGGAGGGGGACAGTGGGGGGGGGGGACAGTGGGGGGAGGGGGACAGTGGGGGGGAGGGGGACAGTGGGGGAGGGGGACAGTGGGGGGGGGGACAGTGGGGGGGGGGAGGCAGTGGGGGGGGGGGGACAGTGGGGGCAGTGGGGGGGGGGGGCAGTGGGGGAGGGGGACAGTGGGGGGAGGGGGCAGTGGGGGGAGGGGGCAGTGGGGGGCGGACGGACTGATTGATTGATGTGACTGTTCAGGAGGAGGTGGAGCGAGAGATCATCAAACAGGAGGAAAACGTGGACCCGGATTACTGGGAGAAGCTGCTCCGGCATCACTACGAGCAGCAGCAGGAAGACCTGGCCCGGAACTTGGGCAAAGGGAAGCGGATCCGCAAACAGGTCAACTACAACGACGCCTCACAGGAGGACCAAGGTACCCCCTCCCTCCCCTGACATTCCCTCTCTCCCCTCCCACTCCCACCCCAACCTCGCCCCACCCCCCCCACCCCCGGCTGAGTAATGTGTAGAGCAGGAGGTTCCAGCCGGCTCGAATGGATGAGAAATGTGGGGTGGATTTGTTGCTGTTGTCGTCGTCGTCTTCATAATAATAATCCTTGCGTTTGATGTGGCGCCTCATCAAGTCTTCGAGTCGTCTCAAAGCGCTTCACAGAATATACTGTAAAGTGGAGTGACTGTGTCTTTTGTGGGCGAAACGCGGCAGCCGATTGCGCGCAGCAGTGTCCCAACAGCAGTGTTGTTTTGGGGATTGGGATTGGCTGGAGCGAGCGACGGGCTGAACTCCGCCCTCTTGCGGCTGCCCCTCCCTCCCCTCCAGAGACGACCTTGGCTTTTCTGTCTCTTGACCTCTGCAGAGTGGCGAGATGACCTTTCGGACAACCAATCTGAGTACTCGGTGGGCTCCGAGGATGAGGACGAGGACTTTGAGGAGAAATCGGAAGGTGAGGGGGGGTCTCTCGCTCAGGAGGTCCTGCTGTTTGGGCGCTGGGCTCCGGCCGACACGTCTCAATCCCTGTTTCTCTCCTTACAGCCGGACGACGGAATTCCAGGAGACAGCTGAAGAGCGAGAGGGACAAGCCCCTCCCCCCGCTGTTGGCCAGAGTCGGGGGTAACATTGAGGTAAAAATCCTTCTCTCTCTCCCCAAATATTGTTTCTCCCCAACACTCCCCCAGCTCCCCAGGAGCCGTCACTGACCTGAGAGTGTGGACGAACAGTGTAGAGAGAACGTTACTGTGTCTCTAACCCTGACCTGGGAGTGTGGATGGACAGTCTAGAGGGAGCTAACACTGACCCGTCCTCCTGCTCTTGTCCCTCTTCCCCTCGCACCATCACTCTCTCACTCTACCTCGCCGCTATTTCCCGCCCCCCCCCCCCCCCTCCCCATTTTCAGGTTGTTGTTGTTGTTCTGTCTCTAATCTGGGATTATGTCCTGGGGTTTGCCTGACGCGAAGCTGTGATTGGTGCCTCAGGTGCTGGGGTTTAACGCTCGGCAGAGGAAAGCTTTCCTGAACGCATTCATGCGCTGGGGTATGCCCCCACAGGACTCCTTCAGCTCCCACTGGCTGGTGCGGGATCTGAGGGGCAAAAGCCAGAAGGAATTCAGGTATGTGTGGCTTTGGCCGGTGGGGTGTGGGGTGTTGGGGGGGAATCACAGGGGTCAGGTTTGTGGGGCAGAGGACTGGAGATGGGTGGAGGGAGGGTGATGCTGGGAGCGGAGTGGGGGAGTGAGTGGGGCTGCGAACTGGGCGTGTGGGAAGGGTTGGGAGTGGGGGGTGGGGGGGGGGGAGGATTGGGAGTGGGGAGGGCAAGGGGTGGGAGTGAGAAGGAGGGGCTGATGTGATCTCGTCTTCGCAGAGCCTATGTGTCTCTGTTCATGAGGCACCTTTGTGAGCCCGGGGACGGCTCGGAGACGTTTGCGGACGGGGTCCCGAGGGAGGGGCTTTCCCGCCAACACGTCCTGACCCGCATTGGAGTGATGTCGCTGGTGAGGAAGAAGGTGAGTAAGAACAGGGTGGGATCTGCTCTGAGATCACCCCCGACTTTGTTGTTCTGGTTTTAACCAATAAATCGCTCTCTTTTTTTTTCTCGCTTTCTTTTTCTCTCTCTCTCGCTCTCGTTATTTTTTTTTTTACCCCCCTTCCCCTCCCCTCCCCTCCACTCCCTCCCCTTCCTCATTGCTCTTGAGGGGAGGACATGGTCGAGGTTATAGGTGCGTGGAGTGGAGCAGCACTGCCACCTGGTGGACAGCATTAGCAGTAACAGCCCAAGCCTCGAGCGCTCAGCGAAGTGGATGTCAGTTCAACCGCATCTCTACATAAACGTTTGTTGCTAACAGGAATCTCTCTCTCCTCTCTCTCCCTCTCTCCCTCCCTCCTCCCTCCCTCCCTCTCTCTCTCTCTCACCTTTTAACTATCAGGTGCAGGAGTTTGAATATATCAACGGTCGATACAGTATCCAGAGCTGATGCCGGCGGCTGTGGAGTGCAAGAAACCAGCTGATTGTCCGCCGGCTGATGGCAGTGCCCCGGTGCCAGCCAGCCCACCGCTCGGCACGGCCCCCGGACCCTCAGGTGAGGAGCGATAGTTTCCTGTCTGCTGTAGAGTCACGCCACGGCCAGCGACACATGTATGTTCTCTGCCTGAGACGTTGATCTAACCCGTGGTCGGCTTGTCTTTCCTGTAGAGAAACCCGAGGCTCAGGCCGGGATACAGGAAGAGGATGGAGAGAACAGGACAGCGGAGACGGAGGTAAAAATCAGTCGCTGTTCCCCCTCATTTCGCCCCAACCCCCTCTCGTTCTGCCTCCTGCAGCCCACGTCGTTGTGTGTGTTTCAGGCTCCGGTTCAAGTGGCTGTGCGCTTTGAGAAGGTGAAGGAGGAAGAGGAGGAGTGCAAAGAGCGAGAAAATGAGGAAGAAGTGAAGGAAAAGGGGGAGAGCGAGACCCCAGAGCAACCGGCAGCTATAGAGCTAAAAGGTGGGCACGCACTGCAGGGAGTGAGTGAGCGAGGGAGTGCGAGCGCAGGTGTGCGAGACTGAGTGTGAGCGCTCACAGGCGTGTTGAGACGGTGTGAATGCGTGGGTGTGAGGCTGAGTGTGAGCCGAGCTCTGCGGACACTGACGCGTGGATTGTTTTTGCGGTCTGATCTCCTGACAGCTGAAGAAAAGGAGGAGACAGAGGCTGGCGAAAAGCTGCCGAACGGAGAGAATGTGAAAGAAGTTGCCGGAAAAGGGAAATTCATGTTCAATATAGCGGACGGAGGTTTTACAGGTAAACACCATCACTGCCCACTTTTGCCCCCCCCACACCACCCCCTCACTGTATCTCCACCTCCACCCCCTCGCTGTCTCTGTTGACGTCTCTCTCTCTCTCTCCTCTCTCTGTCTGTGCTCAGAGTTACACACTTTGTGGCAGAACGAGGAACGAGCTGCAGTTTCTTCCGGAAAGATCTGCAATATCTGGCACCGGAGACACGACTACTGGCTGTTGGCGGGAATTGTCACGTATCCTTTCCCACTTTCCCAGCTCCACAGTGGGGAGGGAGGGAGGGGGTTAGTGTATGGGGGTGTGTGGGGAGGGTTGGTGGGTGGTGGGGGGGTGTGGGGGGGAGAAGGGTCTTCCCGGTTGCTTCTGTTGTGTGGTTTCCTTGACGGGCTGGCAGGCACGGCTACGCCCGATGGCAGGACATCCAGAACGACCTGCGCTCGGCCATCATCAACGAACCCTTCAAAACCGAGGTCAATAAAGGCAACTTCCTGGAGATGAAAAACAAGTTCCTGGCTCGGAGATTCAAGGTACCTCTCTCCCTCCCCTCCTCTCTCTCTCTCTCTCTCTCCCTCCTCTCTCTCTCTCGCTCCCTCCTCTCTCCCCCTCCCTCCTCTCTCTCTCTCCCCCTCCCTCACTCGTTCGCTCCCCCTCCCTGTCGCTCTCTCTCTCTCCCCCCCCCCTCCCCACCTCCCTCTCCGCTGGCTCTCACATTCCGATTCTCCCCGGCAGTTACTGGAGCAGGCGCTGGTGATTGAGGAGCAGTTGAGACGAGCTGCTTACCTGAACATGTCCCAGGAGGCTGGACACCCAGCTCTGTCCCTCAACAGCCGCTTCACAGAGGTCGAGAGCCTGGCCGAGAGCCACCAGCACCTGAGCTCTGAGTCTCAGGCCGGCAACAAGCCCGCCAACGCTGTGCTGCACAAAGGTTTGTCGCCCCAGCCCGTCCCTTCCCCCTCCAGCCTCCGTCACCGCCAGGGCTCGGGCAACGACAGCGCCCCTCGCTGACCTCCCACCCCCCCCCCCGCCCCTGCCCCCAACACCCCCCCCTACTCCTCTTTCCCCCTACCCCCCCCTCTTCGCCCCTCGCCCCTTCCCCCCCACCACCCGCATACAAACAAACAAACACGTCTGTAAAAAAAAAAGAAAAAAAATCTACAAATAATGAAACCGGAAACAAACAATGTCTTTTTTTTTAAAAAAAACGCTCACAAAAAACATGCTAATAAATTCAATTTTTGTAATGAAGCAAGTGCCTCCTCTCTACTTGTGACCTTTAGCGGGTAGCAGTGTTTTAGGTTCTTACGATCTGGATCCAGCCCAATCCCCTCGCCCCCCCCCCGCCCATCCCCACCACCTCTCTTCCTGCCTCCCCTTCCCCATCCCCCAGTTTTACCATCACAGGGGGAGGGAGGTTCGTGGTTGAGGGTGTCTGTACGAGGGGTGGGCCAAACAGATCTGGAGACTTCAGTCTCTTCACCCCCCCACCTATCTTGTCCTGGGGAATAGCCCCCAACTCACCCCTAGTGATCAATACTTATGTCTAAGATGGATGGTGAGTGTTGGCCAATCACTGGGTTGTCAACCCCCTCCCCTCACACACAGCAGCTTATTTGGGTCATCCTGGCTGATGTCTTACCCACCCCCACCCCATCCATCCCATGGAGTCACAGGCTAATTAGCCCAGACTAAAATGAGTCGCTCAGCGCAGAAGTGGGGGGGCGGGGGGTGGGAGGAGGCCGCGAGGCAAGGCGTTGGGGCAAATGGGAATGGTTCCCTGTTGGGTCCTCCCATCCTCTGTTTACTGCCGGTGTCACTGACTGTGTCTCACATGTCAGATTTGCGAAAAGGTTTAACCTGTTCCTGGCCTCTTGTAAACGAGTGTCTCCAGGAGCTGGGGCAGGGGGGGGGTGGGGGGTGGAGGGGAGGAGAGCGGGAGCTGGCGTGGCTTAGGCACTGACTGGAGTCCTGTAGCTCAATGGTTACCGCACTCGCCTCGTAAGCGAGTGGACCCGGGTTTGGTTCCCGGGCAGGGCAAAACTTTGCGCAAGTTTCCTCACTCCACACGCCTCTGTTTACCCAGCAGAAAGTAGGAACCTGGTTGTCTGTCGGTTGTCGGATCTCTTTCCGTGGGTAAAACAAATATGGTCACTCTATCCACATCTGTTTGCGGGACACTGCTGTGCGTAATTCGCTGCCGCCTTTTGCCCACAAAATGCACAGAACACATAACTTTACAGTAGCTTCTGTGAAGCTCTTTGAGGCGTCTCGAAGACGTGATGGGGCGCTGTGTCAAAATGCGAGGATTATTATAAAGATGGAATGGTGGCACGGAGCTCGGGAATCCCAGCGTGTCAGAGATCTCTCCGGGAATGCCCGGAGTATTGGCTGCGGCCAACAGCGATGGGGTGGATTGTGGGCAGCCTGTGACTGTCAGGGTGTCTGTGCGGAGTGGGTCAGAGCTGTGGATTGACCTCTGGACTGGAATCAGACCCCCCCCACCCCTCGCTCGCGGGCAGGTGAGTATTTAACACCTTGTGATCCAGGACAAGAGGCTGTTAACCCTTCCTAGCGTTGCTTCCCAATTGTCCGTCTTGCTGTTAAAGCTATCGATGGATTCGGCAGTTCTCATCGGCTGCTGTTTTCCGATCTGTTTGTAACTGAGAGAAACTCTTCCTGTCCGTTTTGGCACATGGATCCTGGCCTGGTCGCAGCTGGCGGCGTCCGGACACGGTGACTGAACTCCGTGGCTGACGAGGACGGAGGAATTTGGGAGGGGCAGCGAGAACAACAACAGTCAATTCCTCTCTGAAACCCCCTCACTGTGAACTGTGAACCGTTCAGACATCACACACACACACCATCACTCTTAACACTCACTCCGTCTCGCTTTCTTTCTTATGCTCTCGCTCACTCACTCCGTCTCCCTCTTTCTTACACTCTTGCGTTCACTCTCCCATTTTCTCTCTCTCTCTCTCACACTCATCCTCTCTCCCATCTTACACACTTTTTCTCAGTCACTCTCTCACTCACACGCGCATTCTCTCACACACCCCCTCTCACACACGCACTCCCACTGTCGCACACATTTTCTCTCTCACTCTCCGTCTCTCTCTCTCACTCTCTCTCTGTTTCAGTGCTGAACCAGTTGGAGGAGTTACTCAGTGACATGAAGGCTGATGTTACACGGCTGCCAAACCTCTTGTCTCGGGTCCCACCAGTCGCTGCTCGTCTGCACATGTCTGAGCGAAGTATCCTCAGTCGATTGGCCAACCGTTGCCCCGAGGTCCCATCCCCACAGGTGAGTATTAGCCCCACCCCCACAGGTGAGTCCTGCCCCCCCCCCCCCCACACAGGTGAGGTTCCGCCCCCACGAGGGACAAATGGTAACACTTGAGTTGAACCTGATTGGATCTTTGTTTCAGTCCTTACCGCAGGGACTGTACGGAAGTTCCCAGATTTACGGTGGAAACCTGGGAGCAGCGTTCCGAGCCCCGGGAATGGGCGGCCTCGTCAACTACAATCAGATGCCTCTGGGGCCGTACGTCAGTGGTACGTTCTGGAACCCCATCAGTCAAGGATGGGTCGATACCTGGGGGGTGGGGGTAACCCTGGAGTGTCGGGGTGGATGGGGGGGGGGGTTGCTGCTTGTGTCAAACTACATTTCATGGGGAATTGCTGGAAGTGTAATGACTGTGTTATTAATAGTAATAATAACCCTTGCATTTGGATTTAGCATCTTATCACGTCTTCGAGAATCCACTGTAAAGTGGATTGACAGTATTTTGTGGGTGAAACGTGAGTCGACTAACAACCGGGTTCCTATTTACTGCCGGGTAAACCGAGGCGAGTGGAGTAAGGAAACTTGCCCAAGGTTTCGCCCTGCCCGGGAATCGGACCCGGGTCCTCTCGCTTGCGAGGCGAGTGCCCTAACCACTACATTTTTTTGTTTCTTTGCAGCTGCTTCGAGTGTTTCAGTGGCAAACCTGCTGGACAAGAAGTCCCTGGGGGAGAGCCTGAGGGAGGCCGAGGCCGGAGACAGGAAAGTCAAAACCGGTGACGTCATCTGTATCGAGGATTGATGAGATGCTGCGGGGAAGGGGGAAGGGGGGGGAGAGGGGGGGCAGCCATCACACTCCCAGCAATCCTGTAGCTTCCCCCCTGACCTTTGAACAGTCCCTGTTTCTGGGGGGTGTGGGCGGGAAAGGGAAGGGGGGGTGTTATTTAACATGCACATTACAGTATTTGCACTTTTCTTGCACGTGGGTGGAGGGGCGGGGGGGGCTGAGGTTCCAGCGTTGGCCACCAGGTGGGGGGAGGGGGTAGGCCGGGCAGTGCTGGGGAGGGGGCGAAACTGGGAATGGTGGGTATTGTGACCCTTCCCCTCCCCTAAGGGGCCAACTTGGTGCTGATGGACAGAATCAAGAGCGGGCTCCAGTGATCAGGCAGATGTCCCCTTTATCAGGAGCCTCCTATAGTACACCCGGCCCACAGTAACCCCCTCGTTACTACATCAGCTCGGCTCAGTCCCCTCCCCGTAGTGTCCATGTGATTCTTACCCTGTCCCTCCATCCCCAACGTTCCCAGGTCACGCGCTGTCTGTCTGTCAGTGCCTCAGTGAAAAAGAAGGGGTTACAGGATCGTGAGATCATTAACACAGCGCTGCCCTGGGGAGCGAGGTGGCCGCTAGTGCAACCGCGAGCCAACGACTTGCCCCTCCCGCAGGGTAGTGCACCGGAGCGCTTGACGGTGGGGGAGAAGCACGCCAGTCTCTTTCTCTCTTGCGTGCTCTCCCTCGAGCCAGTGGAGCACAAAGGGGTAATGCGTCCCAGTATATGAGGGGATAATCCTGCGGTTGCTAAACCACATTTTGTTTTATTTATTTACTTATTTACTTATTTGCTTATTTACTTATTTACTTATTTATTTATTTATTTATTGCGAATACTCTCCCGAGTCTCAACCCGAGCTTTCTGCTGTTTTATCACTGCCATTTTGTGCTGCTTTTTTCAAAAAATGTAACCGGCCGTCGGTGTTTACGTTTTATTGACGTCAAAGAAACGAACAAACAAAGTTTGACCCTGACTGTCGGTCTGACCGGCTCCACAGTCACTCGTGTTCTCAGTCACAGCTTAAAGCTACCTCTCTCTCTCTCTCTCTCTCTCTTTATCCCCTCTTGTCGTCTGTCCATCCAGCCTCTCCAGCCTGTTTCGCCATTCTATTACCTGGCGTCTCACCAGCGAAGACCCCGTAATTCCACCTGGTCTTTGCCCCGAGAACAACTTTCTTTTTTTAAGACCGCACGGAATGATGGAACGTTCCCAAATGTCGTCAATCCGCGGAAGCCGGTTTTCCCTGCACCTCCTCAAAAAAAGAGAGAGAAATCCGCTTTCCAAATAAAAGACTGAATTTAAGGATTTTCAAGCAGATTCTGTGCGACTTTCAACCTTTAAGGCAAAGTGTTGTGAGAGAACAAGACTCGGGTGCGAGTTTATCAGTCTGATTTGGTGTATTGCCTTGTTTTTAGAAGCTTGAGGGTGATTTAATTGAGGTTTTAAAAATAGTAAAGGGATTTGCTAGAGTAAGGGGAATCCGGAACAAGGGGGGCATCATCTTAAAATTAGATCGAGGCCATTTAGGAGTGAAATCAGGAGGCAGTTTTTCACCAAAGGGGAGTGGAAATCTGGAACTCTTCTCCAAAACGGCTGTGGATCCATTAACATTTTCAAGACTGAGGTGGATAGATATTTGTTAGGTCGGGGTATCAAGAGATATGGGGCAAAAGGCAGGTAACTGGACGTGAGGTGAGGGACAGACCAGCCATGATCTTATAGAATGGCAGAACAGGCTCAAGGGGCTGAATGGCTACTCCTGTTCCTATGACTGAAACGCTAATGTCCTGTTGGTCACTTGGGAGTGGGATTCAATATTTGAACAAATCCTCGGGGAAGCCAAGATTTCAACTTTCTTTTCTAATCCTATAGCCTTGTCTGTTGGTGGTTTATTGTATTTCCCGGCTCTGACTCTGGTTCACACCGGCAGGAGATTTAATCGCCTATTTCGTTTTTAAAACAAAAACACTTTCTCTCACCCTCTCTTGTAAACCTGACTATACGTATAAACTCAAAGTGCATCTTAATACAGTGTGTGTCAGAACTGAGCCTTGTGTGTGTCAAATTGTCTCTTTCTTACCCCTGAACCCAGGCCTGAGTGGAACGCTACCTCCTCACATATTTAGAGGACCTGCGGTTATTATAATAATAATACTAATAATACTAATCCTTGCATTTGACATGGCCCCTTATCACGTCTTTGAGATGTCTCAAAGTGCTTCACAGAATATACTGTAAAGTAAATTAACTATAATACGTTATTTGGGGTTATCACAGGAGGTTTGAACACACAATAATTTGCATTTATTCAGGGTCCTTTGCTGTATCTCGGGTTGCGGTGCAGTGGTGGGTTGGACACTCAGAAAGGGCAAAGGAGGGGTGATCACAGATGGGGGTGAAGAGATAGTTCGCAAGTGGAATTTAAAGAGGACTATGGCAACCAATTCTGTCCCAGGCAAAGGTAAATAAATGTCCACATGGAAGTGGCATGCATAGAACTCTGAAGAGCGCTGATGGTTTTCCGGGTGGAAGTCGAGACGAGTTGGAAAAAAATAAAATAAAAGGGAGCGTTTTCTCTTCGCTGCTTACGGCATTTAATGTATTTAAGGGAAAACTTGATGCTTACATCCCCCTGCCCTCCACTCCTCAACTGAAACCCCCAGCTCAGTGCAAACCCTCCACTGCCTTGGGATGTTCTCCCGACCAGAAAGGTGCTCTATAAATGCAATTTGTTGTTGCACAAGGGAAAATGGAATAGAGGGTAAAGGAGGGGTCGGGAACTCGTGTGGAGTATAAACACTGTTAGACTAGTTGTGCTAAATGGCCTATTTCCGTGCTGTATAACTGTGTGTAAGGAACGCTGATAATTACCCGTGAGAGAGAGGGAGAGAGGAGGAAGCTGCCCGGAGTGGCTGAGATTTGGGTGGGTTCCGTTTGACGGGTCCAAATAAAGTTTCGAATTTTCCGGAATTGTTGCAAAACCTTAAAAATTAAAAGTCTTCAGTCCGCAATCTATCCAATATCAATCTCTTTATTGAATTATGATCTTGTCAAAACAGCTCATTTTGTTTATAGCATTTACACAGTCATCAGCATATACATACACACAGATCCTGATTAGAGTAATTCATGCACAGGTCAGCCCGAGCCGCGGCCTGGCTGGCCCTCCGTTTGTCTGTCCGTCCACACGTGCGTTAGTGAGACTCAGTCAGTGCTGGTCCCGGTTTCAGTAGTCGATGCCTCAGTGCCAGCAACGTATGTACAGCAGTGAACAGGAGCGCGTGCTCACAGGGTTTTTTTTTTACACACCCGTTTAAAAAGTTATCATTTCATTCAAAGCAGCGTCTCTGACGCTTTTACAGAAAGCAGGCGTCTAAAGAACAGCTTCCGACAGGTCACAAGCCCCCAATTTTATATCTATATATAACATAATATATTTATATACTCCATGTATATCATATATACACAAACGTGCAGATTCCAAACCACTGCAATTTAAAAACTGATTGATTTGGCATTGTTTTGTTTGTTCTAGAAAGCGGTCGAAAGTCTCGTTCACACATTCCATTCCAGAACGTTGTCTGCTCAAAGACACGAGCACGACGGCCATCTGTCTCCGGAGGTTCTCAATGATTGTATTATTTTGTCCATGATTCTCTTCTTTAAAACGATAGCAGCCGGTGTCTCGGGAGAGGGGGTGAACGGAAAGGGGAGGGGAGGGCGGGGGAGAGGTTCCAAATGCCATCGCCGTTGCGTTCGCGTTTCAAAATAAAGAGAAAGAGGGAAAAAAAGTCTTATTTCACATATATATATATATATATACTAAAAAAACTAAAACTAGCAAAGGTTAAGCTCCGCAGAGCGAGCACCCAACCACCCCACGCTGGGAGCGGAGTGTTCTTTTTAAATATTCTTTTCCGTTGCATCAGGAATCTGATGTTTGATTCCTTTTGAGAAAGAGTGAAGCGGGGGCTGGGGTTAGGTACAGTGGGAGCTCAGCTCGGGCAGGCAGACACCGTGGAATGCTGACAGTTCCAGGTCGCCCCTGGCATTAGGAGCGGTAATCCTTCTTGCTGTAAGGCTTGTTCCCCAAGATCCCGTCAACCTCATGCACCACGGAAGAGGAAAGCTTGGGAAGAACCTGGAAAACAGGAGGTACTCGCTTACATTCCAGGAAAAACACCAACAAAATAAAGAGCGAGAGAGAAGCTGAGAATGAGAGAGAGAGATTGAGAGATCAAGTTGGAGACAGAGAGATTGAGGTGTCAGGAAACTCTGATTTCCATTGAGAGTTGTCTCTGGAGGCAAATTGGCATTGAATAGTCTCCACATGGTTTCAGAGCAACACACGTGCTCGGTTCGTGTGGTCTTATACAGAACTCGAGTGGACACTGAGGGACAGTGAGATGGAGTGTGTGATGGGGAGTGTGTGAGGGACAGTGAGATGGAGTGTGTGAGGGACAGTGAGATGGAGTGTGTGAGGGAGTGAGCTGTTTTTCTGTGACGGACACTGACCTGGATTGCTCCAATGTTTTCCTGGAGTTGCTCCGTGTTGGAAGCCCCGACTAGTACAGAACTGACCCCCTCGTTCCTCAGGCACCAGGCTGCAGCACACAGACAGGGCGGTCGGTCACTGTGCGCTCCCACACGGCACCAACTAAAACCGGCTCAATGGGCTGAATGGCCTCCTATCCCTGTGCCCACCCACACCCATCAGCAGTGCAGGGAAGCAGCTGTGGCACCCACACCCCTGCCGCTATTAGCAACACTCTCAAAGCTCTCCTCTAGTTTCATTTTAATTACATTTCATGGGATAACGAGCTAAAGTTTTAACCTCTTGCGCCTCGGGAGGTGGGGGTGGTTTACCGATTGAGAAGGGTGAGGGGTGCTTGTGTGGGGATTACAGATGTCGGGGGGAGGGGGGCCTACTATGTCGGAGCGGAGGAGAGGGGGTTTACCGATGGCGAGCTGTGGCAGGGTACAGCTCAGTCGCTCTGCGATGGACTGCAGCTCCTTCAGCTTGGCTTGCTGTCGCCTGCCTTCCTCACTCAGAATCTTGTCCTTTAGCCACTGGTAACCCTGGAAGAACAAACACACATGTCTCAGAGTTACGCTCCCACATGTCTCTGGGGGGGTCGGGGCTGTGACCCGGCCCACGTGGGGTGGTCCCCATTCCCAGTGTTTACTTAGCGGCCTGGAATGAACAAGCTAATGTTGACTGTACCTTTAGGGAGGCTCTGGAGTACGGAGGGACTCCAGCGTTGTATTTCCCGGAGATAATACCACAGGCCAGCGGGGACCAGGTCATCGCACCAACACCTTCAGGAGAGAACAGATCATCATGTGAAGTCCCATAGCGGAACGGTTAGCGCTTGGGCTACTGTAATGTGCCCTTAGATGAGCTGGGGGGGGGGGCGCCTGGGGGGGAAGCAGCCCTCGTCAATAAAATCACTCACTCATTTCACTCTGTGGGACATTGCTGTGCGCAAACTGGCTGCCACGTTCGGCTACAAAACACACACTGCAGTTTAGGGACGTTCTCCCGACGGGAAAGGTATTGGCTCAGGTGTAAGGATGATTATTATACTTATTATTATATTTATTATTATTTTTCACCGATCTTGTGGAAGAGCTCTGGCAGCTGCACTTCCACTTTCTCCCGCTGGAAGAGGTGGTATTCGGCCTGTTCACATATGGGAGGGATAAGGTTAAACTGCCGAGCCACTGAGTACGCTTCCTGCGGAGCAGAGAGAGAGAGAGGCGGCGGTTAATAATTTAACAATCCTTCTATTTGATAAAGTGCTTCATCATGTCAAGGGGACGTCTCAAAGTGCTTCACAGAACATATTGTAAAATAGAGTGACTGTATTGTGTAGGTGAAACGCAGCAGGCAATTGCGCACAGCAGTGTCCCACAAACAGTTGTTTGTGACTAAACTTTTTTTAAAAAGGGATTATTATCCCCGGAAAGCAAACCGCCAATCGACTGACAGATGGGTTCCTATCTACTGCTCGGTAAACAGTGGCGTGTGTGCGTGTAGTAAGGAAACATGCATAAGGCTTCGCCCTGCCGGGAATTGAACCCGGCTCCTCACGCTTCGGAGTGCGCTAACCACTACACTACGGGGGGGGGGGGGGGTGGGGCTTTCTGCCGAAGAGTTAAAACACTAGTTGCTGTCCTGGCCGTGTGAAAACTTCATTAGTTCAGCAGATGAATGGTTAATGAAAGGCTGGGCATACTAGCATAGCCCAGAACCAAATGTAGCGTACAGTCAGAGCAGGAGTTTTCCTCCAGGCAAATCAACGCTGTAGCTATTTCTGTTTGTGATAAAAATAGCCACAAGTGGGACAGAAATAGGATGTGTGATTTACAGTTTTATTAATCGATGCCCGAGGCTACGGAGATTTATCGCATGAAATGGGACCATTCTGCAGTGTCTAAAAGAGTCAACTTACATTAGTGCAACTCGGGAGAGAGAGGTGGGGAGCGAGAAGGAACGAATGACAAGACAGAGCGAGTGTGAGAAGGAATCAATTTCAAGTTTCTTACCCTCACATACAAATACCTCTTCGGCCTCTGCCCTCTATCTATGGTCACTAACCCCCACCCAATTTCTAGGGCACACCCTGGTGGTGGGGGCTCTGCTCTGTGACTTTTGTCACCTGCACTGTGATTCAGCCACCAAGAGGATGGGTAAGTGCTGTGGACATCCCTAGCTTCTGCTCAGCACCTTGTGTGTGTGTCAAGTGTGTGAGCGTGATTTTCTCTGTGTGTGTCTCTGTGTGTGAGTGGTGTGAATGTGTATGAGTATGTGTTTATGAATGTGTGTGTATGTGGGGGGTGAGTGTGTGCGTATGTGGCTGTGAATGTGAGTACATGTGTTTGTCTCTGTTTATGAATGTGTGTTTGACTATGTTGATGAATGTGTGTGTGGGGGGGTCTGGGGTATGGGTGGGAATGTGAGTGGGGCTGTGAGTGTGAGTGTGTGTGTCTCTGAGTGAATGAGTGAGGATGTGTGTATGAAGGAAATGAACTGCCCTCTGCCCACAGCAGCTATGTATGTGCTGAGTTATTCTGGGTGTCAACAAGAACAATACAAGTTACATTTCTATAGCACCTTTCAGGAAGCAGACAGAGCCGGGTGCTTACCATGATCTCCATCGCGCTCCACCGTGACGTGCCCCAGTACATGGCCATTCCCTGGTTAATCACGTGGGTCATGGCTCTCACCGTTTCTGTCGGGAGAGAGAACAGGACAGGCTGAAAGGCTGTCGTGCCAGGGTCGCGGTGACGCCACACTACGCACAGGGTATTAGATCTACTGGTTTCACAACAGTTTTTTTGCCGCAAGACATCTTGCAAGCAGTGTACATCCGTCCATAACGGTGCGTTTGTGAAGATCCCGGCCTTTAGTTTTCCTCAGAATTCCTTGCATCGCTGGGTATATGGGTAAATGGGGGTGGGGGGGGGGGGAGGGCATAGGAAGGAGAGAGCAGGGTGTGGTGTGATGGTGGTGAGACTCTGTTAACAGCATGAAGAAATGTGTGAGAAAAAAAAATACAAACTGCAGATTTTTTTGCACTACTTTCTTTTGTGAGGGGCTATTTCTGGCAAAAACAGACGGTGGAGATGTGTGAGGGGTGTGGGGACAGTAACACTGACAGACAGAGGCACATGAATCAAACACAGAGCCACAAGTACAGGTATGTCTGGGCTTCAGTACGAGCTAAAGAGATGCTAACCCTCACTTTTACAGGCCAACCTACAATTATAGATTGCACATCAAATCCTCTGATGTTTGAAGCTTCAAGTGTGGTGTGTATCAGTGGTGGAATACTAATTGGTCTCTGAGGAAGTCTCTACACGTAAGCTTAGAAATGATAGACACAATAGTTTCAGCCCCTTCGTTATTCTTATTTTAAACGGGAATCTGAACCTGGTCGGAAACCACTTCAACATCCCAAAGGCAGCCAACTCACAGGACCTTCTGAATCCTGCAGGCCAGGTCAGGAGGGCGACTAATGTCCCTTCAGCTCAATCCTTTATTTGATATAGAGCCTTATCACGTCATTGGTACGTCTCAAAGCGCTTCACAGAATATACTGTACAGTGACTTGAATATGTATTTTGTGGGCGAAATGCAGCAGCCAATTACCCACAGCAGTGTCCCACAGTCATGGATTAAGTGAACAATTTTTTTGAGGGGAGGGATTATTACCCCTGGAAAGCAATCCACCAATCAACTAACAACCAGGTTCCTACTTACTGCTAGGTAAACCGAGGCTTGTGGAGTAAGGAAACTTGCCTAAGATTTCGCCCTGCCCGGGAATCGAAACCAGGTCCTCTCGCTTGCGAGGCGAGTGCGCTACCCACTTTGCTATCCTTACTGATTGCTGCAACCTCTGACCAGCAAGGTGCTCACCTCTCTCTCTGTAAAATATTGAGGGGACATGATGCAATCAGCAGAAGAGATCTCCCTGAATTCACTGAGGTGTGAAAACCTTACTGCTCGTTTCTAGTGCAATGTGTTGGAGCACCCGAAGGGCTATAGTGTGTGGTATCGGCCAACAACAAAGGACAAAGCAGCTCTGAAGCTGAGTGGAACGTACAGTGGTCAGGGAATTGGTTTGTGAGCGATGGTTAAACAGCCCGATAGGTCAATGGCACAAGGCAGAGTCCTTCGGCCTGATTCCGCCAGACTTTCAGAAGGGCTGAATGTTGTTTTCAACATTAAACATTTAAATCGAAAACATTAATGATTCAGGGAATAACAGGCTGGCCATTTTTTGTTACCCCTTTATTCTTCCTCCCCCCCCCTTCACAGTCCCGCCTGGCTCATGTTACTTGAATACATTGCTTGCAAGGCATATCGCATCTGCTGGTGCCAGTCTGACAGAATAGAGGTTTGTGTTGTCTTTATCTAATAAAAGGCCAACTCCCTCCCCCACCCCCTCTCTTAGCAGCAGTTAATATAACCCTGCCATGGCTTCTCAGGCCAGTCTGCTAACATGCAGCCTTCGCACTAGCTTACGCACAGGCACATCCAGGCCAAAGACAAGGGGAAGCTGCTGGAATGTTACAACATGCAGCACATATCAAAGCACAGAGAAGTCACTGCCAGGGAGCCAGGAGACAGCAGATGCATTAGATGGAGAGCAGTCGTTTGGTTTGAGCTGAACGCGAAAGGAAACTATAAATCAATGCTTTTCAAAAGCAAATCACAAACCAGCCTAGTGATGGACTGGTACAATGGTGGAGTGGTGATGATGGTGGCAGAGTTGAGTTGGCTGCATGTCTAATCCTCATTGCAATAGCAGCACATGTTAAAGCTCTTTAAAGTGCAAGAGTTAAAAGTTCTGGCTCTATTAGGGGTGGAGTACAGGAGAGAACAGCCACATAACCTCAACTCTTTGTAAGGGACGAGTTAAGGCAGTTTGAACTGCTCTCCTGTTTCAGGCCGTCAGGCAGAGTAAAGTGCCCTAATCAGCTCCTCTCTGCAATGCTCGGGTTTGGGAGGCAGCTCAGTGTGAGGACAGGACAGTACCAGTCTATCACTAGAACAACCTGTTACAGGGGGGGTTGCAATATATGGTGAAACCTGTACTAAATGGTCACTTTCAGGAATGCAACTAACCGGGTGGTAAGTCAGTGGCTGTTGAAGGTGAAGATGAAATAGTGAATCACTGGACCCTGAACTGAGCCACGGATGACAGTTTAATGCTGATCACCATTTGAACGGAGCCGGTGACAAGCTGCGGTTTGGTCAGTCACCCTCTGGTCCCTCTCTGCTCTCGCTCATCTACACACTCACTGCACTTTGACTTGCTCTCCCTCTCTCTCCCAAAACAAAATGATTAACTCTTCTTGCCCACTTAACCCCTTCAGCCTGTGTGAACATATACAGTGGGTATGAATGACATTGACATCACAAACACTAGGGACAGTGGAAGTCACTAAAGATCAATCGAGCCTCCCATTCTCCTCACAGTCTCTGTGCACAAACCACAGCTGCTCAATGAAATGCCCCCCCGTCCTGTGGGATGATAGATCTTTGAGTTGTTTTTAGCCCCGAACTTCCCTTTGGACCATTAAAGATGGATTTTATACTTCGGTGCTGGGTACCACCTCTGGGTGTCCGCAGGATGCGCTGTGCTAGTCTCCATCCCTAGACTAGAGCAATCTACAGCAGTTCTCGCTGTTTGTTTTTGATTCTGAAATCCAGTTTGAGGTAATAAAGCTCAAGTTTAAGATTGTTCCTAAGAGGGTTCCACTGGGTGTCACACCGAACTGACTGGCAGCAGCTCAGCGAGTGGCCTGAATGGGTTAATCAAGGCCCAGGTTTCATATTTCCTAGTTACTGCGACCACTTCAACAGTTGCTGTAATCCAGAAAAGGAATGGATTTATTTGATGAACGTACTTTGAAAATTCTACTAAATAAGTCTTAAAATTCTGGCAGAATGTACTGTAGACCGGCTCAGCCAGTCACTCATGTATTGGCTGCTTATTCAAAGTGACCAGAAGGACAGGTTTCAGCTGAAGGACTGCATACTTACCCAACGTTTGATACAATTTCCACAGCATTTCTTTCATCTCCATTCTACTCATAGACAGGTGAGGCCCAGCAATGGAGATAGGAAGGCTGTTGCTTACCCTTAAGCAGGTGCTAATGTGAGGCAAACTGCCACAGCCTGGCCTAGACAACAGCAGCCCTGTCTAACACTGCACGCTGAGCAAGGCGACAGCATGAAAACGTTCAATGGCGTGACCACGAACACAGATGAAAAGAAAAACACATACGCACAAAGCACAGGGTAACAGGAACCATCTTGCAAACCGTTTGTTATTAAAAAATGAAATAATCAAAAAAGAAAAACAGCAGCCAGCAAGCAAGCCCTCGGAGCAGCAAGGTGAGACACACAACTCCATTTTACAGGAAAAAACATGGAAAGAAGACTCGTAACATGAGAGGAAACAACAGAAATAACCTCCTGAGGCCAGGTTACCTGGTTCTACGTAACCTTATGATATATGGGTCTACCATTCACAGAGCGGGATGGGGATCAGAATGATAGCCAGCAATGTTAAGCAAACAAAAAATGAAATCGGAGGAAGAGCTGGGGAGATCTGACGGGTGGGTGGTTTATGACATGCATGATGTAGGAATGAGGAATAGGCCTTCAAATAAAATTAAGAAAATGTTCAAAACATAAGAAGCAAACGGGAAGGACAGAGTCTTTTTTTTTATTACTTGCAAGATGTTTTTTTTAATATAAAGAAGTCAGGTAACTTGCATTTTATGGAGAAGTTTTTTTTCTGTGGGGGAGGGGGGGGAAGCCGGAGCAGAGTGAACGAACAATCTGTCCCATAAAATGCCTCAGAAACAGCTAAGTATCAATACTCATTTCTTGGGTACTGTGTACCTTCAATGATGAATGTTCTTGACTTTGAAGAACTAAATGGATCCCCTGGTAATAAAAAAAGATTTAAGAACCAGAGTTTATAGCTGAAGGCAGACCACATTACAGAATTTAGGGCATGGGACAGTCAAGAGTAAACGCTAAACACACAAGAGATCCCAGCGAACAACACAGTAGCCCTGCTAATCGGAGCCTTTATAATGACAAAATCGGATGTTAAAGGGCTTAAATCAAATACACCATCAAACAGTACTTGGTATCAGGAGAGGCACATGCTTGGTTTAAGAAAACAGCATTTCTTTTAGTTAACGACATAGACTGGAGGTTAGAATAGGTCTCCACAGGAGGGAGCCGTGAACTGACTCCGGTAAATGTGTAAGACAGTAGGAGAGGCAGTAGGCAGTGTTAAGGCAAAGCGACTAAGTAGCTTTTTCACCCGAACAGCTCTAACATTGACATTAGCAGCGTATCAGACCAGCAAAACTGTCAAGTCAATTATTACATCCAACCTCCAACTCCGAGTCTCGAGGGTCCACTCCCTCTCACTCCGAGTCTCAAGGCATCACTCCCTCTCACTCCGAGTCTCGAGGGCTCATTACCTCTCACTCCGACGCTCGAGGCCTCACTCCCTCTCACTCTGAGTCTCGAGGCCTCACTCACTCTCACTCCGAGTCTCAAGGACTCACTCCCTCTCATTCCGAGTCTCGAAGGCTCACTCCTTTTCACTCCGAGTCTCGAGAGCTCACTCCCTTTCACTCCGAGTCTCGAGGGCTCATTGCCTCTCACTCCGTCTCACTCCGAAGCTCGAGGGCTCACTCCCAAGTCTCGAGGTTCAGATGGATTGTACAAAATTCTGAAAACACTTTGAAGCCAGTTTCCTTAATGTATTTATTCCCTGTTTGTATATCTGGGGGTAGACTGTGGGACAGCACATCCTCCTTGTCAGTGCCTTGGATGTTCTCCCAACGTGAAAGGCACTACAGAAATATAATTTTGTATTGCAATGTATGTCTCTTAAACAAAGACTTTGCAGTAACCGTCAATGGTGTAGGCTGGTACTGCTGGAATTTAACCAGATCAAAACACTCTCCGTGATACCCCCAAACCCCCTACCGCGACAGAGGATTGTCACATCTCCGATCATCAGACAACTGTCAAGCCGAGGACGGAGTTCTGGTGAAAGGCTCGGATGGAGCCAGTGTGGCTCAGATCAGTTCAGCAGAGTGGATAATCAACAATGCCCGAGCCACAGCCCAATGTCTGCAGGGGATCAGCTGTGGCTTTTTTTGCTATTGCCTGTTATCTGACGCCAGTAAAGTAACAGTACATTAAAATGTTTTGTGCAACACTGAGTTGGAAAGGACATTTAATTCATGCTTCCCACTTGCACCCCAGATTACATTAACAGAGGCAGTGTGCAGTTTACCAATATCAACAGTTCAGCAGTCAATAGAACAGATATGAATTATTGTGAAGGTACCAGCCTATGTATCCTCAAGTGATGTCCTAAGGAAATCCATCTGGTGAAAGATGGGTGGGGGAGAAAAAGAAGGTTCTCAAAGCTGCCGAGAGAAGTGAGTTAGTTGGACAATGTAATGAGACGTACCTTCCATGGGTGTGTTGGGGTCGGGTCTGTTGGCAAACACCACATCCACATACTCCAGCTGTAGGCGCTCCAGAGAAGCCTTCAAACCTGGCGGACAAGCACATACCAGGGTTAGCAGCTTCCCAGCACCTGTCACAGTGAAGCCATGTGGAGGGGTGTCTGGCTCGGATCCTACCTTCTATAATGTGCTTTCGGGACAGTCCTCTTTCGGTCTCCGCCCTGAAAGACAAAGAGAGCTGAGACCAAGGCTGACACAATTCCAGAGGGTCTCATCTCCAACGAGTCATTCCCATTAGAGACCAGGCCCGCATCACAACACACAGAGGCGGCGACACAACTTTACAGGCAAAACACCAACACCAGACAAACCAGGCTCCAGTCAGACCACCACGACTTTGCTTCTAATACTTCAACACCCTGAAGAGCTGCTGATATTCTGCCAGCCTCATTTTCTGGTCCTTTTTGCCTTCTTTCCCCTGGTGCCCTGCTTGAGACTTTTCTCTCTGAATGAGTCCGAGCAGCAAGTGCAAGTGGGAGAAGCACTGGAGCAGAGAGTGGCCCTGCTGCTGTGTGTGACGAGCTCCCCACAGTGTGTGACTGAGGCCGCTGTGTCGGGCAGCGGGGCTGGCATCTACACAACACGAGCACGGCCGGGGGCAGCCTCAGAGAGCACCAGCTCTGCTGGACCAGGCCATTCATAACGGTCAAGGTCTCAAAAGGGAACTAATTAATTTCAAATAAAAGGTGTTTTTAATCATCATGGACATACTTTCCACCCCAGAAGATTTTGGTGGTGATGACGAGGCTGGACCGCCTGTGAAAAGAAAATGAACAGATGTTGACAGAGGTTCCGCACAGCATCACCTAGAACTTACCACTGAGAAACATCTCATTGTAAATACGTCAATCTTTCTCTCAAAGCGCAGCTGCGTACTGCCGCGTTCACCTCGTCTGAGAAGCTAACTCTGGCTGCTGCTGGCCTCTGGCGAGGCTGCTCTGTTCAGTCACAGGAGGAGCACAATCGCTGCCTTTTCTGACTCCGCTTCAGAGCATGCGAGGAGGCCATTCAGCCCACCGAGCCAAAGCTGGTGCCAGCTCAGACCTGTTGCTTCCTCGTTCCCCTTTACAAATTCTTCCTCTTCGAATGTTTATCCAATTTCCTTTAGAATTTCAGCCTCAGCTTTCCACCTTCTAACAACCCTTTACATCCACTAACTCAGCACAGACTGAGCATCAAGGCCATGTACGGCTTGGTATTACAGGAGAGGAAGACTTTACCCATTAGGCTATCGGGAGAACCAGAAACCACAAGTGTTCCAATATACAATCTAATCATTCAACAGTGCCTAAATTTCAGCAAAACGCAGGAATAATAAGTAACAGGCTGTGAATGGGGTCAATGCCAAACCTGCAAGCAAAATATAGCTGAAAGAGGGATTGNAAAAACACACATACTTGGCAGGTTGATGAAGATAGAGGAGATAGGTGGAGGGGATCAGTGACGCATTGCAAACAGCATCACTGAGTGACACTGGCCCCATTTTTTTTGGTCCAGCCGGATGTCTGACACACACGGAAACCCATCACCATGCTTTAAAGTATCCAAATCAAGCTGGGAATTCCATGCATTCCAACCTACACGTGGAAATCCCAGAGATAGATTGTTGAAATGGAATGCACACTTCCTGCTTACCTAATTCCAGAGAGTATCAGGTGCAGTTGGCAAGAGCCAAGGATTGGGGACCCCAGCGTGTGTATTGGTGTACTGCTGGTGTCTAATCAGCTAAAGCCGCATAGCTTGCCTTTGATTTCGCTGTCTGGCAAGTTTTGCCGCTGCTTGTCCAGCTTGGACCACTCTTCCCGTTAGGACAAGGGTCGTAGGGTTAACAGGAGCTGAGAAGATTGATACTCTGCCTCCAGTGTAACTCGTGGCACCACTAGTGCACTGTTAGCGATATGTCGCAGCTGTACTGAAGCTATAACTTCTGTGTAATGTGCGGTGTTAAAAGCATCCGAGCACAAGTGGAAAAAAGAATTCAAAGTAAGTTACCTCCAGCCTTTCTTCTTGATAATGTTTCCCAGCACAACCTCTGCCCTGGTGGGGGAAGCATGAAAGGAAAAGGAATTGAGGTTCACCCTGTATTTAAAACATATTCTGAAACTGTTCTCCTGTGTTAGGGCCTCTCCTCAATCGCCTGTTCTAGGAGCTTCATGAACCACAAGTGACAACCGCCCACTGTACACAATGCGGCTGGATCTCTCCCAGTCAGTCCAGGCTGGTTGTGGCCCTGAGTTTCTCTAGTCTCTCCTCATAACTCCTTGTGAAGCCTTGCAGCTTAGTTGTTAGAGCGCTCACCTCGCAAACAAAAAGACCTGGGTTCGATTTCTGGACAAGGCGAAACCTTTGGCAAGTTTCCTTGTTTACCTAGCAGTAAGTAGGAAACGGTTCTTAATTGATTGGCGGATAATCCCCCCAATGATCTGCATATACTGCAAGTGTGAAGCACTCTGTGATGCCTGAATGGAGTCCTTTACCAAACACAGGTTTTCTGAGTTCTGTGGAGAAGCTTTTCACACAAAAATTAATCTTTAAATCCATTGAACACCAAATGCTGTTGGGCACCCTGATAGTAACATTGCCTTTAACTGCATGGTATTCTCATTTAACAAAGAGCTTTCCATCAGAGAGGTTAATTAGACACATGGACTATCTATTTCAGTCATGTAGGTAACCTAGTTGAACATATGAAGTAGGTGAAAGTTATACTAAGGAAAGTAAAGTCAATTTAATTTGATTAAATGCCAACAGCCAGGATTAGACTTCACCCAGTGCAGATTGTACAGCGCTACCGGCTCCATCCATCATTTGAAAAGCTTATTCACAGACTAATGACCTGAAAATGTGCTTGCCTAGTAACCAGCCAGCCAGTTGCTTTCAGAACTAGGAATCATTCGCTTTGAAACTCCTTTTGTTTGCCTGACGATTCTAACCAAAGCATCGTCAAAATGAAGGTGGTGCTCTTGTAATAATAATAATATTTGCCTTCAATATAGTGCCTTTCACATCTTCTAGAGTCTCAAAGTGCTTCACAGAATATACTGTAAAGTAAATTGACTGTATAGTTGTTGGCGAAACTATATTTGTACTATTCAGATCGTTGCCAATATTGAAAAGTGATCCACCAATCAACTAACAACCAGGTTCCTACTTACTGTATGGGGTAAACAGAGGTGTGTGGAGTAAGGAAACTTGCCCAACATTTCACCCTGCCCGGGAATCAAACCCAGGTCCTCTCACTTGCGAGGTGAGTGCTCTAACCACTAAGCTACAGGACTCCACTTTGTGAAATCCCACAATTGCAGAGCCAGTTTCATAATAACACATTTGCTCTGCTCGTGCATAACAATGGGCTGGGATGGGGGCCGATGCAGTTTCTTTTTTGCCCCTGATGAAAACACTAAGAATTTTACCTGATTTTGTCATGTCAATGCCCTCGGGGAAAATGTGAGACATTTTGTTTCGAGGGGCCATTCCACTTCTTTACTTGACTGCTACACAAGTGACCTTGAGACACTTTCCGTTCACTTTCTCCCGGCTGTTTGCCTTAGCTGAGTGTAAACAGCAAGTGGAGCAGCAACAATACCCTCCCCATTACCCTGCAGTATAGCGCGGGTCTGTCTCACCGTACAGATTGTATTTACAAATCACAGCCATGGAACTGTTGTTTGCTGTCACAGGGCAGGGATCTGCCTGAAGAAGGTATTTGCTGATCAAGGATTTGTTGGTCAGTAAACAACAGGGAATCCCTGCAGGATGCCTCCAGACAAAACGGGTCACGTTCACAGGGAAAACAGCAACCATCGCAGCTCCAGATTAATGAACTAATCAAGGGACAGAAACAATCTGCTGGCTGTGTTGGGGAGGGCTGGCCTGCAGCTGTACAGCATGAGAGTAACAGGGAGAGACGAGTGAGCAGTCAGGGCAGATGTGCATATGGTAGAGAGCATTCATCGCATCATTATCTATACACACACACACATAGACACTTAATCTAAATAATAACAAATATCTTCCTACACATCATTTGACAGCTTAATTACCTACAACATCAACTTGCATTCACTTGGTATCTTTCACGTAGGATGAACATCTCAAAGTGCTTTACAAGATAGGGGCGAATAACTGTACAAGTTGGGAAAAGGGAGAAAAGTGGCCAAATGCACATTTGAAGAGGTAGGTTTTCTAAAGGGTTGTGAAGACGTGTCAATATCTTTCGACATTCAGCAGGTCAGCTCGCTGCCGCCCACATTGTGACAGACACACACATCTTTGTAAGTGATACAAGCACGTACATTACACAAAACGATTAGGAAGATTGGGAGCAGGACAATTTAGAAGCGTTTCAAGGCTGTAACCTAATTGCAGTTTGTTCAGACATTGTTGTTAAAGAGGTACGGCTTCCACAAACATGTGGTCAGCCTGTTCTTCCCAGGTGCAGCCACTGTGTGTTTATATAGAAATGAGGACTCTCGCCTCAGTAAACTCTTCCCTTCTTAAAGATCAAACAATGATAAAATATATGAATCTGAAAGTCTTTTTAACGTGTTTCTTTCTCTACTGCTGAGAATCACAATGGACGTTAGAGTTGCTGAGCCTGACAATGCGAGGGCGCTGCATTAACAGATGTGACTGATCGCCCAGGGCTGGAGACTGTATCTCCGCTGACATTAATTAATTCCGCTCCCTACATGTTCGGGAACTCCTACACCGCCAGTTCTGCCAGTGAGGTCCTCGGTCCTCACTGTTCAAACCAAAAAGATAGAATTATTTTAATTAACACAGGCACAAACTCACACCAAAAAAGATAGGAATAGAAATTCATTTAAAAATCCCTAGTAATGGTTTGAATTTTAAAACCAATCCTGATAACAGGACACTGCGGGATAAATAATCAAAAATGACTATCTGGAATGACTGTCTCTGTATAAAGCATCAATGTTGATCTCAAGGATTCTTTCCCTCCTCACACGTGACAATTGTGAACTCCTTCTCTCCAAATGGCCCCTCCGTCCCCGCATTGCCCCCCGAGTGAAGGTTATTAACTCCAGCAAGCCCGAGGAACCCCCTCCCCGAAATATTGCCATGTTCCCCCTCAGAGAACAGCAGGCATCAGTGGGCGGACGCTGGAAGCTGAACCGAGCAGCATGCTTTTTCGAGTGGGCCCTAATGAGAAGCCTGACAGATACAGAGAATGATACTTGACTTTAGTGCTCCCTGGATATGTGAAGTAATTGCTGCGATTGTCAAAGGTTCCAGCTATATTTAGCATTAGCTTTACGGACCAAAGTTTCAACATTGCACTCATTTTGTGCTAAATCACTGAGTGGGTGACAAGTTGCTTCCAATTATTTTTAATAGAAATAAGCGCATTTTAAATGGCTAAAAATGAAGGAATGCAGAGATCCATTTTTTCTTAGCTGCTGACAAACGTTAGAATCCATCACATCGTGATCCTACGGCCAAATAATCTGCTGATTAAAAGTTACATCATCGTTTTTAAAAAAATCAATGAATTGAAAACAAAGCAGTGATAACTCTATGATTAAATGGTAGCCTTGAGTCAGGCCTCGCTCTGCGCTGATGTGAGGTCAGATCATGGTGTCTGCTCACGGTCACCTGCAGCCTCATTTTTTTTTAAGTCAGACGGGTGTCTGACACACGAGGAAAACCATCACCGTGCTGCCACACAGTATCCAAACCAAACTGAGAATTCCGTGCAACCCACCTACACATGGAAATCACAGAGATAGATTGTTGGAATGGAGTGCGCTCTACAGCTTGTCCTCATCTCCAGGCAGCACAAGTGGCTCAGTGATAGACTTCACAGGCTGCCCATTGTGTCAGTCAATTGGCCAAGGGGAAGGAGGGGGTGCAGTTTAGCTGAGGAGACTGCCACGGTAACAATAGACTGCGAAGAGAGTATTGATCCGTGCAACGCGCAATCTCCCGCGTGCGCTGTACCTACTTGCCAGCTGCATACACCTCGGCTGTATCAAAGAGATTTATTCCATTTTCATAGGCCATAGTCATCAGCTGCTCGGCCATCTGCAACAAAGGGGAGAAACCGTGTTCGCACAGTTCCGGCACACTGCCATACTGGGAGGCTAGAAGTCTCCAGTACACCGAGAGAATGAGCACATACACACCATACTGCGTGGAAACCATGTAGAAACACAGTTGTATTATGCAACATGTGCAAACTCTTGCAGGGGTGTTCATTGCTGCATGGAGATGCCAGTTGACCGCTTTGGCTTTGTGCTGGAACATCCCAACTGTACTAGCAATGCCACACAGCTTAAAGAGTGTCAGCGCTCAGATTTATTCCTCAATAATGTGAAGGCGGATATTGGTAAATACGTGAAGAAATTTCTCGCTGGCTTGAAAATAAAACAGCTCCGGTACAAAGTCCTGGAGTAATCCCATTTAGTCCTGCACTGGGAACATGCCTCCCCCGACCCCTTTTTTTTAGCCTTCCCTAAAATCTTTACCCAATTCCTCTTTCAAACGAGGTTAACGCTCAGTGTGAAACGCAAACTTTACTCCCTAGAGCTAGAGCGCAAACAAATCACGGAATATAAAATCACATTTACAATTTTCATTTGCACTTGCCTCAGCTTTCACTGTAAGACCAAATAGGAAATTAGAGACAGATGCAGCTCAGCATTTGTTTTAAGAGAGGATTCGGATTAGACAATGGATGAAGACATTGAAACAAGACTTAAAACCCGTCAGGAACCCCCGACTTCACCCCGCAGATTTGGTAGACCTCGTTGCAACCCCGTGTCCTCTCTGAGCAGAGTTCACTGCAGCTTCCCCACCTCACCGGCAGCCAGGTCGCACCTTGTGGATCAGGCTTTAGAATTTACATGCTTGAACAGAAAATCAATTGCACAAGTGGGCCTCAGGCAGGCTCCAACAGTTGGTTAGCGAGACAGCTGTTTACTTCTCTGCTCATTTTGCACAAATCGGCATTTCCCTCAGGTAAAGAGCTAAAATTCATCAGAAAATGCAGAGTGCAGGAATGGGGTATTGCTGACTGGAGGCTGGCATTAGGCTCCTCACCTGTGCCTGTGCCAGGGCAAAAGAGGAGCAAAACTAAACCAAACGTTCTCCCTGTATCGTCACTTCTGGTCCATTTAAAGACTAGCCACATTTTTTAAATGGACAGAATTTAGACCGTTGAAAAAAAAATGTACTTGTGGTGTGTTTTGTTGGTATGTACATAAGTCCAGACACATGCCCACACATACCCACCACAAAAACATTCTTTGTAAAAAAAAGTCTAAATTCAATCAATTTAAAAATGGATAGGTGTTCAGCCAGGCTCAGTCAGTCACACTCTCACTGTCATGTTAGACTGTTGTGGGTTCTAGCCTCACACAGCACTTTGAGTTCACAGGCTAGAGTTGATGTGCCTGCTATAGTGCTGGGAGGTGACATCGTTCAGATGAGACCTTAAACCAAGGTCCCGGGATACTCTCCGAAAAGAGAAGGCAGTTTCTCCCTGTGTCTTAACCAACAATCCCCCAGATTAAAAAAAATGGTAATTCACTTCATAGCAGTCTATGGAACATTGATGTGAGCTGTTGCATTCGCCTACAAATAAGCATCACTATGCTTTACCGAAATCTCTGTGAAGCATTTTAAGATGTTTTGACATGATAACGTGCTACATCAAATAGACTTGTAAGCAAAATAGAAGCCCACGGTATTAAAGGGACAATGGTAGCATGGATACAGAACTGGTTGGGATACAGAAAGCAGAGAGTGGTGGTGCATGGTTGTTTTTCTGATTGGAGGGAAGTGTGCAGTGATGGCCCCCAGGGGTCAGTATTGGGACCACTGCTGTTTTTGATCTATATAAATGACCTGGACTTGGGTATAGGGAGTACAATTTACAAGTTTGCAGATGATCCTAAGCTAGGAAAAGTAGTAATGATCAAATGATCAATTGTTATGATCATCAAACATGATGAAAGCTGAGTGGGTTTTGAGAGGAATAAAGGTAATAAGAGCACTGCAGTGAGGAGAGTCCAAGCTTATATTCCACTGTACAAATGTCTGCTGCAGCAGGGATGCAGAGTTGAGGCACCTTATGGCAGCACAGCAGTGAATGCAGAAAATCTATCCCCAAGGGGTTACGTCATGCTGAAGTCTCAGAGATGCCAACGCATACAGGAGGCTGGCATTGCCTGAGTTTGAGTTTAAGAGTGTTAGAATTGCCATTCCACATACGCTCATATGTCCCCAGCGTCGTAAAGCATCATAAAGAGTTATGGGATGGGCAATTGACGCACTGTGCTGGTGCCTGTCAAACAAACCAATGAGAAGGAAGTTTCTAGTAGACTTGTGTCATCCAGGTGTGTCATTTCCATTTGGCAGAGGGTGGGGGGGCAAGGAGAAGAGAAACATTGTACAATAGAGAAATGCTAAGTTGATTTAGTAACTGTACAGATAACCACTGTTGTGTGTGGACTGTGCAATTGGAGACAAACAGTCATTTTATTTGCAGCAAGATTCCCTTGAACAGCTATAAAGGGAATGATCAGTGTATCTGAACAGAAGAGAAACAGTCTTAGTCTTTCAATCAATTATCACAGTGCATTATTGTCCACAAAATTTAAACACTGTCGTATTTAACAAAGGCATTCAGATGATGCTTATAAACCTTGCAGGCTTTGATCTCTGGGTTTATGATGTAATTGGAATCTGACAACATCCTCCCTGCCTTATATTGATTGCAGGTGTCTATTCTCTACACAGGCCACTGAAAACGACATTTGAAGCAAAAGAGAAAGAACAGATGTACCTCATCAGTGATCTGACCTCCAAAAGTTACCCATGTTCCTGTTAGAAACAAAACAAGGGAGTATGTTACACATTCTGCCTCACACAGTGTAAGCTCACAGTTTCACTTTCAGCCTCGCCACTAAACCAAGATCCCAACAAAGTGCACCATCATAGCACTATTGGTGGTGTAGAACGTAGGCCGCAGGCTAGCATTGACAGCAACCTATAATCGCCTCATGTTAATGTGCAGCATTCATTATTTAAGACGAGCGCAGAGTGGAACAGAACTGCATATTCATACTATATACTGGATTGACGTATTATTTAGTACTAATCGCTGTCCTGCTCACCAACAAGATTGATAGCGCAGCAGCAAAGATTGGAAATGATGTTTATGGGCAGTGCACTTGATGACAGTCAGAAAAGCTGTGGAGCCAGCCTGTCTGCTCATCTCAGCAAGGCTGGCTCAGCCCACTTTACACTCGCACAGGTTTGGTTTCACAGTGTAATACCAGACGGTCAGAAAGTTCATCGTGCTTACCTAGGCCAAGGCAGGACACCCGAAGCCCCGATTTCCCAAGATTTCTAATAGAAAACAAACAGATGATGCAGTTAGAACCCTCTACTGTCAGACACAGCGAATTGTCAGCACTTGAAATGAGTCATTCTGCCTAGCGTGTCTGAGTCACCGTTGCTTGTATTGCCAGCCTTTTATTCATCCTGTTTCCAACTTCCCATGTTACTTGGGATTTGCACTGCTCAGGTGCTTATCCAGCTCCCTTACAGGAACAGGAATAGGCCATTGAGTTCCTTTGAGCCTGTTCCACCATTCTATAAGATCATGGCTGATCTGTACCTCAACTCCCAATTATCCTCCTTTACTCTGTATCTCTTGATACCACTTGAATGGTTCTATTGGAATGTTCAGTCAAGGTGCCCAATGCTTCCTCTATTCCCTTCTATTTATTTCCATTTTAAGTAGATCTTTCCTCTGCACTCATAAAGTGACACAGCCCAGCACACACACACTGCACAGGTACCTGGGATACGTGTAACACTGCTTAAACCTGAGGTACTGGAACACTTTAAGCTGCATTCAAGCCTAGACTGAATGCCAGCAGGACATAAAGAGGCTCAAATCCCCAAGCACTCTCAGCTCTCCTCTACTTCAGTGCGTTCAGCATTGTTAAACCATCCTTCGGTGCTGTTTGGAAGAAAAGCAGTTTTTGACGTGGATAGATTTTTGTTAGGTAGGTATGGATATCGAGTAAAGGCGAGTAAATGGGAGTTGAGGTACAGATCAACCATGATCTAATAGAATGGCGGAACAGGGTGGAGGGGTAGAATGGATCATTCCTGTTCCTATATTCCTTATCAGATGCTTAGAATAGAAAACGTTTCTCCTACAAAATATACATTTTACAGTATATATATATATGTTCTAGAAGACGTGAAAAGCGCTCTATCAAATCAAGGATTATTATTATTATTGTGTGACTGTGCTAAGGTGTTACAACAAACACAGGTATTGTCACTGAGCATCAAAAGGCAGCCACTTGCAGGAATGCTCCAGTAAGCAGTTTGGCACACAACTAACAGTGCTCACAAAGTGACATCTGCTTCTCCCAGATCAAGACTGATTTTATGTAACATAAATCTCAGAAAAAGGGAAATTTTACTGGGTCCTGGAGGACAAGTCAGCCCTAGCTGTATTTGTGGGAGTAATTAAAGTTCACTGCTAATGTGATGATCTCAAAGGAACTCAGGATGGGAGATAAGCCAAGCCTCCTGGTTTTAAGCATTTTACAAGTTCATTCAATTAATTACATGTTTACGTCTTCAAAGATACAACCAGATGTTTTTTTCACAAAAATCCCAAATCTAGATGACAGATTGAGAAGAATTTATGGTTTCACTTTATGCTGGATTTACTCAAATTCTAAAGTCCCATCTCATTGCAAGTCCCTGAGTATCAGTTCTGATCCCACTCTCTCCTTCCTAATGAGCCAGACTTGGTCTCATTGGAAGAGATTGAGAAGAAAAAATTGATACAGATCTTTGACACGATGAGCAACATAGATTATGCAGATTTGAATTGTCTATTAGACATAGAACCTGAGGACTCAGAACTCAAATCAAAACTGCTCCAAGTGGGACTAAAGGTTGGAAGAATTTACTCTGCTGGAAAATGATGTGGGACAGGTTATGTTGAACAACACAAACTGTCTTACAGAAATTATAATTACCAAACACACCCTGGTTGTATTTGCAGGGTCCTAGATTCAAAGTCTAAAATTCTGGAATCATTGTCCTTGGCTGAAGGGACGGACGGACAGAGCAGATTAATGCGCGCAAGATTTATAACACAATCCACAGCTTCTGAACCAGGCTCACGGCTAGCACTTCTGATTAAAGAAAAGATACGCTTCACACTTTAGGATTCCAGGAAACTATCACAAAGTTTTGAATAAATGACTAGAAATTCCAAGTGTTCCCAATGCGAGGCCAATCCAAGGTCCCTTCATTAAACCTGCACACATGGTTCGATCGGTGTAATTGACCTGACAGTATTCAGTGACCTCTGTAAATGTGATTTATAGGACTGTGTTTTCAAAGTGATAGCACGAGGCTTTATTTGAACAGAATTTCACTGCTTGATGGTACTCAGTATTACAGATAGAAATAAATCAAATCAGGAAAACAACAATGACTTGCATCTATATAGCACCCCTCATGCAGGGTAGCGCCCCAGAGTGCTTGACGGTGACGGAGCGTAGTGCTGAGGCGGGGAGGGGTGATCCACTATAGGTGGTCTGAAAATCGCAGGGGGCTGAAATTCCTCACAGACTTAATGTTAAGACTTCATTTTAAGCATTGTCCACATTTCTGCGCTCAGAATTTTAATCTGGAAGCAGGTTTTGAACTGTGATGGGTGTCGATGGAGGGGGCAGTTTTCTGTGCAGATGCGCAGTTATGTCTCTGGTCAGCGGAAATGCTATATGGCTGGTTGGGATTTTACGGGATCAGTTATAATGGGCTTCTATTGTATATTAATTTAAACGTACTTATGATTCATTGATCACCCTCCGTGCAACTTGTATTAACATGTGATGCAAGTTTATAGCATTCTGCAAATAACCTCTGCAGCAATAAAATGGTGTGCTGGCATTTTCCCCACCATGTTACAGGCCAATAACAAGCAGTGTGGCTCAGGAGTCCTGCACAGAACACAGCAAAGATTTTTTGGTGCATTTTTGGTGTTTCCTATCTTGTAACAGGGTAAAAAATACATTTACATTTACCCTGTTAATTCTTTATAAGTGGGTAAATGTAAAGCCCAAAAATATAGTCAATTCACTTTACAGTTTATTCTGTGAAGTGCTTTGAGATGTCTAGAAGACGTGAAAAGCGCTATATTAAATGCTTATTATTATTATTTGGTCACTTCAATCCATGACTGTGTGTGTGACGCTGCTGTGCACAATTGGCTGCCGAGTTTCACCCATAAAATATACAGTCAATTCACTTTACAGAATATTCTGCGAACCACTTTGAGTCGTCTCGAAGATGTGATAAGGCTCTATATCAAATGATAGGATCTTTATTGATAGTCTTTATCCCCATTAATTTCTTATGTTAATGGTAAGGAGGTGCACCTCACTTTCAAAATAAATGATTGTGTTGACACTGCAGTTAAAAGCTGGAATTTCACTCGCTCAGAGCTGTCTGTGTGGTGACACAGGTCATCAGAGCCGTGAGAGTAACCGTAGCTCTCTGTAATCACTCATTACTCCACAGACTTTATGCATAAATAATAAACCAGCTACTGCCTTACAGCATTTTAAAATACTAAGGGTAGAAATTCTACCTGAGTCTAGATGTACTGTATTTTCTTAGTATTTCTGAGCATCCAGAATTTGGCCAAATCTGAAAGTCTTAATTTTGGATCTTTTTAAGAATTACAGAAAAACAACTTTCCAGGGGTAATAATCCCTTCCAAAAAAAAATTTGGTCACTCAATCCTCGACTGTTTGTGGGACACTTGGCTGCCGCGTTTCACCCACAAAATATAGTCAATTTACTTTAGGTATATTCTGTGAAGCACTTTGAGACATCTCAAAGAAATAATACGGTGCTTTATCAAATGCAAGGATTAAGACTTTTCTTGTGGATAAAGGGATTAAGGGATATGGGGATAAGGCTGGTAGGTGGAGTTCGAATAGATCAGCCATGATCCTATTGAATGGCTGGCAGGATAGAGGGGCCGAATGGCCTACTCCTGCTCCTAATTTTTATGTTCTTATGACTGAATTCAACAATTTGCCAAATTTTGCGCGCTCTAAAATACCATGTAAACAGACTGAATCTAGACCCACACAAGTGAGGATGCTTCACTGTGGTGGGTGGGGAGTGGAGCTATGCAGACTTGGAGGCAAATTCAATCTTCTGAAGCTGCGTTCTGTCAGGCTCCCTCACTCCTTTTGGCTGTCTGGGTAAGAGTGGGGTTGTTTGAAATGCAGAAAACCAATTAGCAATCTGACCATCTAAGAGGTTAATGATTTCTGGATAAATGGAGAACTTGATCCAGATACATTGTGTACACGGTAAATCTTTCAGGCCGCCTTCTGCATAATGCAGGAGGACCCTTGTCAGAAGCGTAGGGTTGCAAAGCACTTGGTGAGATTAAGCAGTGAGCAAAGTGTGTCCTGAGAGGGATCGGACTCAGCCGACGAGCAACTCACCTTACTATTTTGTGGACAAGTTGTTACTTTTATTATACACTATCCACCCAAGGTGACAGGTTATCAACTTGTGAAATAATTGTCATTTTGAATTTGAGGTGCTGGAAAGCACAAACTTACATTAAAAAGATTCACAGAGAAACTGACAAGTCTCCAAACAGGTAAAAACTTCCTGTCCATCGACGGGCTTAATCCCAGACAAATGGATCATCAACTGGGCTATTTACCCCAGTCCACAGACTCCAGCAAAATGGCTGGTCAGCCAGATTCCACGATGAAACAAACTGGACGATCTAGGCAAATAGTTGTCAGATGATTTTAGTTCACAAGAAGTCCCGTCAGCATGAACCATTACTGAATTACACAATGAAATCGTCAGCCCGGGCGGGGTCAGTGTGTGGTAGGGCAGCCTGTGGAGGAAGCTGTTAAAAGTAGTATTGGTTATTTCTGTAAGGATGAAATCCATTGCATCTGGTCGTAATCCCACATACTCAGGACCAGACTCTTAATTTCTGCCCATTAGAAAAACAGTGAAAAGATCAGTATTTTTAGCGTGCAAGACTCATAGCGTTGCAGGGTCTTTTGAAAAAAGCCTCACATAGGAGGCCTTTTCTGCTGTCTCCTGAATGAGAGCAGGAAAACAGTAGTCGGATAATTTACCAGCCTGATCAACAAAAAAGTCACTTTTGTTCACACTACAGATCAGGGAATAAGAACATAGAATCATAGAATTATACAGCACAGAAGGAGGCCATTCGGCCCATTGTGTCTATGCAGGCTCTTTGAAAAGAGCTATCCAAACCTATGGCCAATATATCGTTCAACATACGAACATAAGAATAG